GCTGAAGGGACGGGACAGTTTTTCTCTTTTTTTTCTAAGTGCTGTGGGGCAAAGCAGCTGAGGGAAAAACTGAGTGATAAGTGAGTGAGGCAGGTTTTTCTCATGGGAGCTGTAGGTTTACCACTTACGTGACAAAAAGGAAAGGCAGAGAGGAAAGACAGATGAAAGTTCACCCTTGCAAATAGTTGAAGTTGAGGGAATTTTAAAGCAGCAAATTCACTGTATTTTAATCTGCAGAGACCAGACTGCAGGACCATCAACTAAGCAAACCTGTGATACGAGTCTGGAACAAAGTACATAAGCAGAGTGTAAAGAAAGACATTTCTGATTTCTGTGAAGCTTTTCTAGACAGCCTTGTCCAGGGAAAACTTATAAAAGGAAAGGGGAAGAGAAAAGAAGTGGAGGAGACAGTGACTGGGGAGAAGATTTCCTGAAATGAATCAGAAGGAAACAGCCAGAGACTGTCCCTGTAATGCTGCACACCCCACGAGCTCCTCACAGGCAGCCAACAGCCCAGAGACAAACAGTTATGCCCAGGTTATTTATTTTTCTCACTTTGGCAGTGTCACAGATGTAATGTTTTATAAAAAAAAAAATAAAAAAATTGTATCTTCTTTTATCTGCGGCAGAATACAAAGCAAGAAGCAGCTTCCTAGAGCAGCCAGGCAGAAGGGAGCTGGCAACCTGTGCTGGGTCAGGAGGGGAGGAAGATTAAAAGGAGATGGGATTTTTGCTTTGTCCTTCACGGAAGACTTTATCCCCTCCAGATACACAACAGAAGCTTTCTCTCCCTTAGAGGTTGGCCGGCAATGGCCTTCCTGTCTCTCAAAGCTGCTCCTGGGTCATGCACGGGGCAAGCTCTGAGCAGCACAGCCCCGTCCTTTGCCCCAAGACCCTCAGCCCCCTGCTCCCCACACAGCCTTGCCCCTATCCCTGCTTCCTTGGGTGGCACTCATCCCTGTGCCAGCCCTGGCTTCCCGCCCGCTGCAGGGCGACGCCGATCAATTAGCGCACAACAAATAATTAAGCTGATGAATGTCTCTTTTTCCTGCTTGCTGACTGCACTTGCCACGAATTTATGCCCAGAATATGACTGAATTTATTCGATGCTGCTTTGTAGCATTCAAAAGAGGTCTTTAATGATTTCTTTTAAGCTCTCCAGCCTGATTGTGAACAGTGCAGGGCAAATACTCATTATTTCCTATCTAAGCAGCAGCGCTGATTAGCCGGTGGTTGGTCAGATAAGTCACACTGCTCCGTTCCCTGCTCGCTGCTGAAAATGCACAAGGTCATTCCCTGCTAATGCAGAGGGAAAACATGGGATAAGCGACTGCTGCCTGCAAGTCCCTTGTGCATTTTCAGGGCAACAAAACAGGAGCGTGGAAAATCTCACATTAAGAGGGCTCAGAATTAAAGGGAATACGGGTTGAAGCGTTTTGCTTTCAGGCAGCCTGTTCACAGCACTGTGTGCAGCTGAAAGTGTGTCTGGGAGGGTAGTGGGACTGCAGTGAAACTTAAGTCTTGACAGTTTGCGGACACTAAAGATCTGAAGCCAGCTCTTACTCGACTGTTAACTCCTGAATCTTCACATGGTGCGATGTTAATCTTCAGCCCTTTCCTAAAATAATGTGCCGAGTTGCTATGTTCTGTTAAATGTGAACCATGTGTCACCTCAGCGATGGCTGCAGCGGGGAAAACATGATAAATCTACAGCTTTTAAAATGTCCTGTGACATTCTGGGAGAAAAACAGGTGTTGCATAAATGTCGGACATTTATGGGTAAACTTGCAGGGGCTTTAAAAGACTGACACATCTGCCACATAGTGTGTAACCCTGAAAGAAAAGGAGCAAAGCAAGTCTCTTTCATGTGTCTCGCTCTTTCTACAACCGTATGAAAATACATCCTCATCTGGTATTGGAATTAACAGAGCTGGACTTGCCCCTCCCTATGTCTCCTCCAGGTTTTTGGCTTTTACACCCGATGTGTATTTTAAAACTGTGCCTTTTTAAGTAGGTGGCAAACTGTGCTGGAAGGATTTGGTATGCGGAGTATTTTTATTCAGCTCCCTTTTCTCTCACCTTTCATTGTTTTTCCCTTTGGAATATCTCCTGTAACGCTCCACTCATAAACCTCTTCAAAGGGAGGGCTGTATTTGAACAGCCTTGCCTGAAATCTGGTCTCAGTCAAAGGCCTCAGACGGGAAAATAACTCGCAGAGCCAAACCCCACGGCCCCACGGCTGCTGCCGCAGGTGTCGGCGGCTGCTTTGCAGGAGCGAGGTGCTGCCTGCTGCCTCTTCAGCCCTGACCCCACAGCCCCTCTGACTGGGTTATTATTCCCTCCTTTACCCTATAAATGTAATAAACTGGGACTTAGCATCTTGCTTTTAGTGTGGAAGGTCCAAGGAGAAGGTGTTGGCTTTTTTTTTTTTTGTTCTCGCTCCCCCCGAGTGTCTCATTCAGCACCTGCAGTGTCGTCGGTGTTTTGGGAGAGAGGAGATTTTGGAAGCTGAAAGTGTGCTGGGGAAGCTCAGCCCTGTGATCTCTAGGATAGGTGTTCCTAAATTACCAGCTAGGGCAAGTCTAATTCCCCGAGTTGCAGTGATCCAGCTCCCAGTGAAGTCTGTGAAAACAGAACTTACCTCCAAAAAGCTACAGAACCTCCCCCTCCATGAGGGAAATCCATCAGACGTGTGACCAGCTGCCCGTCTCTGACCATTTGTCCTTTGCATCAGGCAGTTTTAGCACAGAAACCAGTAACCCACTGGGCTACAAAGCGCTTCCCCTCCTTGGGAGGTCACTTCATTTCTGGGTGGCAGTGAAGCCAGCAGATATTTTGAGCTTGAGTTGCCTGGCTGGTAAGTGTTCACGACTCTGTGCAGATCCTACTCTGCCTCAACTCCCTGCTCAGCAATAAATTCTGCTCCCAAACCTTAATCCTGTCCCTCTCCCCCACAGTTCAGCTCTCACATCCCTTGTGTTTCAGTCCCATCCCCACCCCAGCAGTAGGTTGTGCCCTTAGCTCCTGCCTTGATGGGGCTGGTTTGGGTCGGTCTCCTCCCAGGCACCTCACTTCCCCTCCTCTGGCGCTGCTTGGGATTTTTCATCGCCTGCTCTCAAGCCCTGAGGCAGTGAGATAAAGTTTCCCAGGCAGGCTGTTTTGGGAGGAGAAGACCTACACCATGCTGAGCTACCGGGCACTTCCAGCTCTGCCCTCCTGGCTGGTGGGAGTTCAGTGAGCAAGCTGTGCTTGCCGTTGGGCTGCTCCTCCCCAGGAGGTGGAAAATCAGCCAGAGACAGGAATCTCTTCTTGGAGACAACTGAGGATGAGCCACTGCCTGTCACCCCCCTCATCTCTGCAGAGGTTGTTTCAGCAGGGAGCCCGCTGTGGGCCCTCCATGCCCTACTTCACCAGGGGGAACAGAGGAGCTCACCTGCCTGTGCTTCCCTGAACATGATTCCCAGGTCCTCTCTCAAAAGCAATACAGGGGAATATTTGTCAAAAAAAAAAAAAAGGCACATTTAGACAAACTACCTCTTCCTCTGTGTCTTCCCCAGTGGAGAAATTCACTCCTTCCACTTGCCAAGACACGTCCATCTCCCTTCCCCAGTGTTCCCAGATGGGCCAGAGACAGCCCCCAAAGCTGAACCAAGGAAAAGAATCCTCCAGCCAAAGTTGGCTTATAAAGGAACTGCTCCCTGTAGAGGACCTTCTTCCTCACTTGGGTGACACAGATGGTGTCATAGGCTGAGCCCAAGCTCCCTCAAGTTTGGTTGTTTATTAATATAAGTTACTTATTGGATTTTTGTTCTGTTCTATACTAAAATCTGGAAGATAAGGTAAAATATTCATATGGCAGAGGATAAAATTTGCTTTCTTTTCTTTGGAAACAAATTCAGTGGTTAGAAACATATGAAATGCTGTACTGCTCCAAGCCACAAGCTCTATCACTCCAGTCACCATCTCTAACGTGGTCAGAAATGGGTGCTTAAAGAAGCATTTAAAAAGAGGATGTGTGGAGGGACCCTTCCTCAGGCTCAGGCAGTCAGTGGTTTAAATATTCCTGAGCCAGAAACTGCATTCAAATCACAGTGTTTAATAGCCACTGACACAGCAAACCTCCACAAATAGGCCTGTTCTTTTTTTGACTTCAAATATATTTTTGTTCTTAATAATACTCTGTGGCAATGCAACGTATCACTCAAACACACATTGTGCCAGGAAGGAGGTTCTTTCATTTGTTTGAATCCTGCTTCCAGGAAATTACCACTTCACCCCCTTGCTGCTGTGTGATAAAAAACAGTGGATTTTACTTTCCTAAGAATCCTCCCTACATTAAATAATGATTTTATAGGTCTCTGTTACTAACTTGTCTCTTTTTGCAAGGTTCTTGTCTACGTGGTCTCTGTGCAGAAGGTTATTTCCATCTCCACTCAGCCCTGCTGCCCTGCTCCACAAACTCCTCTGTCCCACTTGGGGATGGGATGCTCAGCAACAAGCCAGGCACACACAGGGATCAAAGTACAGAGCCACTTCCCTTTTGCTCTCTGGTCAAAAGAGAGACTCTTAACCTTTAATTTCCCTTTGGAGCATTGAGGGTGGATATCAGGATGGACAAATATCCCCTTCTCAGTGTTTCTGTGTGAAGGTCTCCTGAGTAATAGGTACAGCTTTGCTACTGAACATGCCCCAAGTTTTGGAGAGAGCCAGCCCTTGCCCATAGAGAAGCCTGGGTTTATTGTAAATAAGAATGAATCAACACCTCTGCAAATGTTATTTAAGAACCTGCCTTGCACAGGTGTGAGTTATGGTGGGAAATGAACATCAAGAGAGGACTTCAAAATGAAGCAGCAAGAACTCAGTGCCTGTGGTGAGCTGATGCTGAAGGTCCTTCTGAGACCTTGGACCTCCCCTGTTCTAGAAAAAAATAATTGTTTTTCCAGGCACAATGCAACAGTCACCAAGGAATTCCCAATGAAAAGAGGAAGGGGCATCCCTACCTTTTTGGTCTTGACTGTTGAGGCGCAGCAGTCCCCACCATCATAGTTGCAGAAGGCTCGGTTGTTGATGGAGTCACAGTAGTTGTCCCCCATGAAAGGCTGAAAAAGGAAAAAGCAGGAAAAGACTGAGACCATGGACATGGATAAAATGAGCACCTCCCCTATGGAGACAGGCTGGGAAGGTTGGGGCTGTTCAGTCTGGAGGAGAGAAGGTTGTATGGAGACCTCAGAGCACCTTCCCAGTGCCTAAAGGGGCCTACAAGGAAGTCAGGGAGGGACTGCTCATCAGGAACTGTGGTGAGAGGACAAGGAGTGGCTTCAAACTGAGAGAGGGGAAGTTTAGGTCACATATGTGGAAGAAATCCTTGGCTGTGAGGGTGGTAAGACACTGGCACAGGTTGCCCAGAGAAGCTGTGGCTGCCCCTGGAAGTCCCTGGAAGTGTTCAAGCCTGGGTTGGACAGGGCTTGGAGTAACTGGTCTAGTGGAAGGTGTCCCTGCCCATGGCAGGAGTGTTGGAACAAGATCATCTTTAAGGACCTTTCCAACCCAACCCATTCTATGATTTCATAATTCTAAAACCTGTAACACTATTTCAGAAGGAAAACATGAAGACTCGAAGGAGCCATATAGTTTGTAACATTACCAACTGCCCTGAAAAGCCAAAGATAATTATTCCCCTTTCCCTTCAAAGCAGACAGAAAAAAAAGGACAGTAGATGAAAGGGAAATGAGCCCTTCTTGGCTTTTCACATCCCACATAAGAGGATGCTTCAGGAATATTAATTTGGCTAGGCCCAGAGACAGCATCCAGGCATCTAAAACTGTGGCACCTTTGATAATTTTAAGCTAACCTTCCAGAACTGTGTGGGATAAGAAGAAGGTTATGCATCACAGCAAAACAGGCTTGCTTTTAATAGCTGTGCTTTTCACCACAGTTCTCCAAACTGTGCAACACGTGTCAGCAACGAGGGCACAAAACAAATCACAAAGAGAAATGGAAGTGGTCTGAGCTCAGCACAGGGACCATGTGCTCCTCTTCCCCAACCAGCAGTGACTGTGTGTGACCTTGGCCATGACACATAATCTTCCTCCACTCCACAGCTCAGGGCTGGGATAGTGGCAATTATTCAGAGGGGCGTTGTGGAGAGCTATTAAGTAAAATTCGTAAATCACCTTGAAAAAGAAAATGTGGTCACTGGTCTGTGCAATGGGATCACTAGTCCATGTGCTGCACAGGACCTGAACAACCACCACAATTATGAAGGAAAGCCTTGAGGTCTGGTCTTTCTTTACACATTTACACCTCTTGGTCAGCAAGTACAGAAATCTTTCTTGGAAGTCAAAACTGTGCCTGATGGTAAAAAAGGCCCCCTGTGAGAATCCCAGCCAGCAATGACTGCTCAGAAAAATGGGTGCTCAGCAGAGAGCCCAGTCATATCTCTGTAACCCTTCTTACACACACAGGCTCATGGGGCCATTCCCACTTTATCTGCTCTTTGGAAAATGTGTTTATTCTTCACTGAGAAAAATACCAGGGTCTTTCCTACAGGAAGGCATCATTGCAGAGCAGGTGGGGTGGCTTGTGGAGGTTTCCTGGGAGGATTTTGCAGCAATTGCAGTACCAGAGTCTCCCTGATGATGGGATACGTGAAGAATCAGCCATGAGAGCTCGCTGTGCTCTCCCCAGAGTGAGCCATGGCCCTGCTCATCAGTGCTGAAATGGACTCTCTGGAGTGGTGCAAATGCACACTTTTACTGCTGGTGTGTTGCAAATTTAAATATTTCTATCAGGTACAGGAAATCCATCCAACAATGCAACCACAGCAGGACTACCGGGAGGTGACTGATTCATTGGTGATACTTTTTTAGTTCCATGCAAATATGGCAAATGTTGACAAGGAAATCAAAATTACAGCATAAGGCTCCTGTCCCTTTAAACTGCCTTAACTCCACTTAGTTCCACAGATATTGACTTATTTATACAGGCAAAGCCTTTGACTTGCAAACGCCCTTCCAATTTAATTAATATGCTAAGAGTTAAAAGGGAATGATTTATAAATAGATGAAGAGATATTTTGATGCCAACACGGTCATATTTAAAACCATGAACTTTGCCCAACCTCCCAGGAAATTTTGTAGGCTTCTCCATGTTTCCCTTGTGTTGCCTGGCTGCGCCTGCTTGTCAAGAAAAGCTTGACTTTAATTTTCCATGCCTATGCCTGTACCCTACACCTATGAATGCTGGAAAATCAGTAAAAGAAGCTCGTGGAAGAGTTTGCTCTGGCACAGACTAGGCAAGCTAGTCCTTTGGAGGGGAAGAGTAGGACAAATAGCATCTATTCTGATTTGGGTCCAAAATCCTCTTTTGGGAGACCCTGGCTGTGGGGGGTGAGGTGTCTACAGCTCTTCTTGCATGTCTTAGTGCTCTGATATTTTTGAAGGACTATAGAGGTAGTCCAGAGGGACTACTTTTCTACTGAAACACCTAAGTTAGGTGCTGAGAAGTACGGGGCTGACTCATAAACCTCTGTTCCTGCCACTAGGGAGCGACAAAAAATCACATTGCAGCAGCAGCCGGGGTTCCCACTGCGATCACCAAGAGTCAAATAATGCCCCACTTACAGCCTCCTGTTCAGGAACCCTCCCTAATGCTGAGGATGTCCATACATTAAGGACTGTATCAGCTTAATGGCCCAGCATTATTGAGCTACTGGCTTATTAGGCACTGTTTCCACAGTTGTGAAGAAAAAAAAAAAAAAGGCTTGGTGAAGATGGCATTTCTTCTGAAATCTTAATGCCAGAGAACAAGCTCTGGCCCATCCATGGATCCTGGAAGCATCATGCTCTAAAAATGATGCTAGAGGCCATTATCAATTGTCTGGGCAAAGCCTTCCAAGATGATAGATTGTGATGCAGTGACACTGCTGAATGAATGTTGAAAAGAAGAAAGTTCCTATTGATGCAGAGGGCTCTGGCAATTAGCAATGATGGAAGGGAAGAAAATGCTGAGAAGAAGCATGTCAGTAATAATGGCTTCTGGTAAATTATTACATCATTGCAAAGTTTGCCTCAGTAACAACTATCCTTAAACAGCAGGAGAATGGATACCCAATGGTGCATCAGCACCTGAATGGCATTTCTTAATGGTCTCTGGATGTTATTTCAGCTCTCTTTGGAGAATGGGGGCTCCCAGCCAGCCTGCATGAAAGCGATGTGTGAGAGGGCTTATGACATTCAGAGCACTGACAGCAGAATGCTTTTCATTTAGGGAACAACTAGACAGAAACTATTACATTGTTGGAGAGTTATTACCCTCTTGGGCCCAGTATTTGTATGCAAAGGAAACCTGTCTTTCACTTCAAGACAAATCCCACCGCGCAGCAATGTGGTCTGGAGCTTTGTGTCAGATTTAGGAATTCAGTCCCATGTTCTGCCACTTTGGGCAAATAATTTCAATGGGCCTGTAAAACTGGGTTACTGGGTGCTGAGAGCACGGCCAGTGCAGCAGAAAGGCAGGAGATGTGGGGGGGAAGACACAGCTCTGCCACAGCCTGTCCCTGTAACTAAAGCAGCCAACTATCCTTCTGCCTGTGAGCTATCCATTTCTAAAATGGGATTGGAGCTTCCCAACTTCACAGAGGTACCACGAGGACTGATTTCTTGACATGGGCGAGATACTCAAGGGCTGGCACAATGGGAACCACAGGAGTGCCACGATCCAGACAGAGGTGCTCCAGTCCTGTTTAACCACTGGAAACATCTTAAGTCTTCTCAGGCTTTTCAAAGACTGCTGCCAGCAGAAACATCATCCTTCAAAATAATTGTTTTCTTCAAGTAACACGCAAGACTGTAAAATTGTATCACAGATTAAATGTAACTGTGTGTTTCTGATTATTTTTTTCTGGTTCAGATAGAGGTTCAGTGGAGGGATGTGCTGTTTGCTCACTGTCCAGCTGTGCTGTCCACCCAGTGGTCTCATTTCTGTCTCTGGCTTCCCTAAAGTTTCTCTGCACACACCAATGCCCAAAGCTTAACTGGCCTTGGAAAGAATTGCCCCTCTAATAATATGTCAAAATCAAGGACAAACAACTGAAGGTTTTTGCAATTTCCCAGAAACTCCCACATTCTGGGAAATTCTTTTGGTCTACCAATGTTTTTGAGCTACTTGATCATTGTAACTCCTGTGAGAGACACCCAACCATTGGCTCTAGGAAAACCACCAGTTCCACTACTGAGTGTCAGAACTGATGCAGGCAATCACAGCCTGTTTGAGAGGATGATCAGGGCAAAATCCTGTTTGCCCCCCTTGAAAACCAGCATTTACAGCCCACATGCCTGCTGTGACTGTTCCTGCAGGATTTTGGAGCCAGCATGGACCACCTGAGCTAACGCCAAACTCACCTCACAGCCTTTGACACAATGAATCAGGGAAGGGTGAGGATACCACTTTAGTCCTGCCGTGCAGACAACGCTCTGGAGGGAAGAGGAAAAAAACACAGCAGGTTAAGACAAAGAAATCAGTGTACAGAAAGTCAGAGTGCTGGCTCCTGTGGCTCTCCTGTACTTAACCAATGAAGTTCAGTTCCTAACACCTCTTGTGTTCTCAGGACCTGGCTGTCCTCCAGGTATTTACAAGAAGTGTTGGACTTGACACTTGCAATAACAGAGCATTTGAGATTAAAATAATATTTAAGGTTCTCCTAAAATGTCATGTCCAATATTTCACTCATGGTGGGGGAACGTGGCAGGGAAAGGCAAAGGCACAGGTCCACTGTCTTGCTCTTGGGTAGAAAAGACATTTTAGAGATTTCTTTGGTGCTGCAAAGCATTGGTGTCTTTCACTGCCCATCATACCTGGGCTTCTTGAAGATGGAAGCAGCTAAAGGTGGACTTTCAGATATATTTTAGCACCATCTTAAATAAAAGCACCTCTCACCACACACCTTCAGAATAACCCCCAGAAAGGACAGCATTATCCACTACATTTTATGAGCTTTAAATTAATTTCTCTACCAACTCTGTCTACAGATTTTCTAGAAGACAAAGTTGGACTGCCTAGTTTTGGGCAAAAATGATGACTGGCCCCCTCAATGATGACACAGGCAGGGCAGCCATAGACATGGACACTTAGATTTTAAGAGTGGATGAAATCTTTGACCAGTCAGTGGAGATGGTGGTTCAATACCCTAGAGGTCCTGGAGATTGGACTCCCATCCATTCAGCAGGACATGGGGCACAATGTTCATTTTGGGTTATCATCCATGGACAGAGCACTACCCTGTGCAGTTGGGCAAGATGTACACACAGGCACTCACCTGAAGAGAGGGGTTGGATGGAGGCCTGGGGAAGGAAGGGATTAGCATTTGGGAAGACCCCAGGCACAAGCCATCCCCTCCCCTGTTTATCTGAGGGCTAGTTTAATCCATCTGCAGGAGAACCTCGGCATGTTTTTACAGTTTCTGTCATTTGAGGCTTACCTGGCGTGTGCTAGAAAAAGGACTTTTATACTATCTGACTGTGACTGTTTATCTTTCCGATGCTCTCGGATTTTCCACTATTAGTCAAGCCCTGCTTGCCCCACCTGCCTCGCAACAGGGCCTGTCTGTGTGAGTGAAGAAGCGGCCAGGAGAGGGGGGAGGATGTTGTTTATCCCTCGGGAGGGAGGCTGCAAGGTGCAGGGGGCCCAGAAGTGTCAGACATTCCCCCAGAGCTCTTGACAAGAGAGCTGGAGATTTCCAGGCTGTTGCCTGCCACAAATGGTGAGGGGTTTGTTGTTTGCTTTTCCTCCCCTCCCCTTCTGTTTATTGCACTTCAGAGGGAAAAGAAAGGAAACTTTTCTAGGTTTGAAAATAAACAAGGCCAGTCAACAGTCCGGGAGCGGGGAGAGTAAAGGAAACAGTTCAAGAGCGTTTGAACCCAAGAATTAAAACAAAGTAGAAAAACTCAGGCATTTGCCTCCTGTATCCAAGGACAGCAGACAATAAGTGGAAGAAGGGCACTTCCAAAGAGCATCTCACAATCCCCTGGTAAGAAGCATCAATATTTACAAAACCTCTCGCTATGTGTGAATGTGTGTGAGCATGCAGAGCCAATAAAAGGATGGGTAGCCTTGAACCAGGCTCTGAAGAAGAAAGGAGGTTTCCAAGTGAGAGCAATTCCTCACAGAGGGTGCACTGACTGCTTTCCTGACCCTCCCAGTGTTAAAAGCCCAGCACCAGTCTTAGAGGAAGGGGTAGAAGGTGAAGTCTCTGCTTCTCTGAGTGCTCAGTCAAGGTCATCATCAATCCCAAGAACTGCACAGACTTGGGCTGGACACTCTCCAGGGAATAGGAATGGAGCCCCAGGTTGCTCTCCACAGTGTAGGAGAGCCAGGTGACCTTGTGCCAAGTTAATCACTGGGTCAGTGGGACATTCCCATTGCTCCTGAGTGGCACCTGCCAGCAGCTTCATACCTGTTACTTCACCCTCCCCTTGGATGATCCTTTGCCAGTGGAGCTGAATTCAATCCTGCTAACATTCAGAGAGCTGAAAGCAGAAGGAAGGACCCTCTGCCATGGTCCTGGTTCCTCTTGCTAGTTTTCCAAGCCCTCAGTTCCCCCCACCCAGCCTGTTTGTACCCTCAAGCTGCTGCAGCTGTGTGCAATGCAATGGGAGAGAGGGTTTGGGTAGACGGAGAGACTGGGTTAGAAAATTGAGAAATTGGGAATGATTTGGGTTGTTGGGCATTGTTTCTGCCTCCTGCGGTGCCAACAGGCATAGAGGTGCCACAGGATGCTGCATGGGGCAACTGAGATGAACAAATGCATGAAAAGCAAGCAAGGACGGGTGTAGGTTGTGCATGACCACGATCTGATGGTATCAGTGTGCACAGAAAGGAAGGTGGACTCAGAAGGCCGACGCAGGCTGCTGTAAGAGGTGGGTGGAAGGACCACCACCACGTGCCAGGTGGTGCACGGGGAAAGCCCATCTGGCCACTGCCCCTGTGAGCCCCGTCCCCTGTGCTGCTGTGGTGACATATGCTGCCCTCGTGGCCCCAGATCCTCTCACGCACTGGCTTTTTGCAGCACAGCTGCCCTCCCACGCGGGCCAACGCCGTGCAGCCGGGTGGATTGACTCCAGCCCTGTCCCATCCCAGAAACACCACCCAGCCACATCTGCGGTCGGCGGCTGGGATTCCATCTGCTGCCAAGGGAGAGGGAGCAGGGCTGCGCTCCCACAGTAGGTAACAAAGAGCCAAGAAAGCAAATCAAGCTGTCATTTTCTCCTTGTGAGGGAAGACCCAGTGCCTCCGGTCACGGCGCTTCCCTCCCGTGGTGGGACTAACACAGTGATGTCAACCCTTTGCGGGCTGCAGGGGGGATTGGGTTTCCCTCAGAGAGGCCAGTGGAGAGCTCTCCTCAACCTTAGATGGGTCAAGTGTCCCCCAGATGCCCAGGGATTGGCATCTCCTGGTCTCAGCTAACTCGCTCCTCAGGCACTAAATGAACACGATAATTAACCATGGGCCTAATGTGGCTGGGGTGAGGGGATCGGCCAGGAGAGGGGGAACACAGCACTTTGGGGCTGCTCCTTCCTGTAGCTACAGATGGGCTGGGATCTCCTGCCTCCCTGGGTTCTGAGCAGCTGCACTGCAGTTGGTCACATCACTGCTCTGTGACTCAGTTTCCCTGCTGCAAAACGAGCCCAAAACTCACAGAAAAAGGCAGAGGGGAAGGAAGGAGGAAAACTGAAAAGCTTGAATGAATAGGGGAGTGTTTAAGGAGTATTCCCACTGATGGTTTTTGGACATTTATAATCCCAAAGCTTGCAGTGCACATGGGAAAACACATCACCAGCAGTTGGGCAGTGTCACTGGCATGTGGAGGGGTCATGGACACGCTCAGCTCAGCAGAGTCAGGGCACACCAACCCTTTGAGGGCTTTCCCAGGCATGCATATGCCTGCACATTGTTTGGCCTGTTCCTACTCAGCACAAAGGCAAGAACCCAAATTCAGACAACCTAAGAAATTAGGTGTCTGCCCTGTTTCTCTGCAGTCAGTGGGAAAGAGCTGTCAAAGCTGTCTCTGAGCTATTTCCCTTTTTTCTCCCTGTTGCCTGCAGAGTCAGTCTTGGCAGCTCTATCCATGGGTGTCTTCAGCAGCTCAGAGCCCCGTGACACAGTGAAGGGGAAATCATGGGGACAGCAGTGGCTGTTCCCAACACGGCCCACTGCAGAACAACAGAGGAACAGAAGATTTCAGGTGATTATTTTCTTGCTGAAAATACTGATTTGGAAGACAGTGCCAACTTATACTGATTTCAACAAACTGTTTCAGACCCAGCAAAGCAACTCAACGTAAACCAATTCTGCAAAACACAGTAATATTTAGACATTTTTTGAAGTGAATTATCTGTTGTTGTTGTTCCTTTGAGAGGACATTTAATTTCTAAGGTTTTTGGTTTTTTTTTTTCATTTTCATTACACAAAAGTTTACAAAATCTCCTTGGAAATGAAATGCTACGTTATGTTCAAACCAACATGTTTTTTTCCTCTGATTTTTTGGTTCACCAAAAATCACAACAACAAAAGAGTCACTTTGATTAGAGAAAAACATTATTTTTTTTTTTGTTTCAAATTTAACAGAACTTCGAGTGAACCGAAAAATCAAGTGATTTGCACAGCTCTGCTCTAAACAACCCCCAGAGGAGGGATAGCCCTTCTTCCCACTTTGCTTCCATAACAGATGTTGCTTGAGTAGCTACACACAAATATATCTTTTTTCTTGCCAGTTCTCCCTGTGTTTTCTTGTCCCTATCCCCTCAAAGGTAAATGCCACAAATGGGTCCTGCCTTTACCTACTTCCCATCCTGCCCTAATTTGTACTTTACTTGTGCCTCAAATTAAGCAGCTGAAAGTGTTTCCTTTGCGTCATTCGAGTGCTGTGAGATGTACAAAGACTTGCCGTGTAAATGCAACCAGCTGCTCCCTCCGCTCGTGTGGCACAACAGCAAACTGTCACTGACCATAAACAGAGACACGGATTATTAATGATACACAGCACATTGCCATGGGGACCTCCCCCTAAGGCATCCCAGTCCCATCTCTCCAGGGTCTCCCCAGTCCCACCAGAAGCAGCGTTTCCCTCAGTGGGACCCCACGAGGCTCCGCTCCTTGTGGGTGACATCCCCTTATCTGCAGAGCTGAGTAAGATGGATGCTTTACAGCTACCAAAAAAATCCCCTCTGATAAGTCTCAGCATCATCCTGCTCGTCTCCTAAAGGCTCCCCTCCATCTCCCAACACAAGTTTTCAAGCCCAAATCTCGCCCTCTACTTACAAAGTGTGGGGTCAAACTTGCATCTGCTCGCAGCCTAAAGCTCTTGCAAGATCCTCACCATCAGGGCAAAAAAAGGGTCTCATTTACCACTGTGCTCTTGGAAACCATGATTTCTCCTCCATCCCTCACTCCCCTCATCTCCCCCTTTACTACTCTATGTTTTCCCTGCTGCCTAATGAGCCCTCCAGAGACCTGCAGGTATAAAACTCGTTACAGCTCCCTCCGCGTACCCGCATCAATAAGGGAAGGAGTGCAGAGAGAACGGGAGGGAAGCTGTCACTTTATTTCCCCATGAATTACAAACCACTTTAAAGTCTGGCACTCGGGAAAGGGCCGGTGAGAAATTGCCCCTCACACAGAGATAGGGGTTTTCTTTATGTTTCATGCCAGAAACTTGGCAAAGCCTCGGCAGTCATAGAATTTCAGAGTCTGGAGCGAATGGGGAGCTGGGAAGGACACTATGAGCTTGTCATATTCTCTGGACTTAAGTTTCCCACTCCTTTCCAGGATTTATTCTCTCGCTCTGTGTGAAATAGGAAAGCATAAAGTGGTGGAGATTTTTGGAGCGGCTCTCTACCCACAGCCAAGGCCAGATTTCAAAAATCCCAAACCCTGGGCGTACATTTAGTCATGTAGAGAAGCAAATAGACTGTCAAAGCTGCTCAGGACACTCTGGGGCTGTGTTGGCTGCTTGTTCTCCTCCGTAATGGAGTTCAAGTGTGTAAAACAAGCTCCTGCAAAGCCAGGGCCAAGTATGTAAAAGCCAGCAGTGCTTGTTCACGAACACCACCAGCAACCTGGTGACACCTGATGTGTCAGCATCTTCCGACAGGTGCTTGAGCGTGTCCAGTTAGACCTTTACACCTGCAGAAATACTGTGTAAGGGACAAACACCTGATTACACGAATTTGCAGGCAGGAGGCACGTGAAGGTTTTCAGGATGAAGTGGGTGAGTGTGTCTCCCACTGGAATGAAACCAAGCAGCTGTTGGGTGCAGGGTGAGCGTGCGTGTGAGGTGCACACGGGTGGGCACGTCCCCAGCAGGGCACACTGGCACTGGTGTGTGCTGGAGGACGCTCAGGACGGAGTGCTGGGAGCAGTTAATGCTGGCTGTGCATTTGCAGCAGGCAGGAGGGAGAAGTGGTGACCTCTGGAAGGGGCTGTGCTGAGCAGGCAGCTCTCGCATGCGGGCGAAGGGGCGGGGGGAGCACTCAGCCAGCTCTGCGGGGTCGGGAAATGAAATACCCTCTGTATCAGCTTCTTTTGTCATCCAAAAGCAGCGCAGAAAAAAATCCAGTCACTGCCACCCAAAGAATGCAAAACACAGAACAGGAGGAAGAAAATAAACCCTGGCCAGTGCCCTTTCTCTCACTGTCTGTCCCATCTTCCTGTGTCATGAATCCCATTTTCAGATCAGACCCCACTGATCTGAGGCCTTTACCTTGAACTGACTTTCAGTGGGAAAACACAGAGAGACAGCAACTCAGAGAGAGAGCCACCACATTACCAGAACAACATGAAAAGACACAACAAAAACCAGGAATTCTTTCCTAAAGGGCAGCATTCCCCATTTTCCCCTTCATCAAATGAACCACAGGTAACACTGTTCACTCTCTGCTCATAAACATTCAGCAAGGGATACAGTTAGTGGAGTTGTCAGGCACTGACCTTCACTCTCTGAGGGTTCATCCAGTGCTGGATGTCTTGCACGGTCTCGTTCACGCGCAGGAGGATGGGCTCGTGACTGTGATCCAGACATGAGGTGGTACACTCTGTGCCTGCACAAAACACGGGGAGGATAAAGCTAAAGGATAAAGCAAGCAGCTCCTGACCCTTCCAGCATCCTTCCAGCTGAAGGACAGGATTACAGCTCGTTTTTCCTAAATTGCAATTAGCAGTTGGCCATAACTATCACATATCTCTGAGCCACACATGAAGTGCTGAGTACAACCCTGCACTCAGCAGGAGAGCGTGGGGGTGGCACATATTCCAGGGCCCTTCTGTACGAGCTGCAAATCTAGGTATTTCTCTGCCTGTTAACTCCAAGAAGGGGGTCAGGTTTTGCACTTTTGGATCATCAAGAAAACGTGAAGGTTTTTCCATTTCAACTAATCTTTCAAGCGATGGGACTGATTAGGCAGAGGCTGTCGAACTCATCTCGCCTATGACATGACAAAAACCTACTGTTTGATCTGTCCAAGTTTACAGACCTCCAATAATTATCTTTCAGAGGGTGATCAAGCCTAATGATATTGGAGATGAACTATCACTGAAGTCCCACAGTCGATAAGAAGTATGCAGAGAGGTAATGATGGCTTTGTTCACACATAAACCTGCTTTTTCTCTGATTAACTGTCATGCCCAGTGGGAACCCTGTCCTTTCTTTATTAAAACATGCTGGGATACTCTGCAGCAATATCCCAGAGCCCTGTGGTGACACAACCATAAGCCCTAGTGTGTTGGACCATTACCATTTCCCCCCTGGAAAATCACTCTTGAATGGCACAGCTGCTGCAAACATGTCATTAGGATTTCTGCACTCCAATCAGCGCTGGGGGAGGAATTAATCTCTGCACTGGTTTGGAGAGCTGAACCTTTGGCTCAACACACGCCTCAGCCTGGAAGGGCAGATTAGGTGTCTGAGGAATTACCGAAGGTGTGTGGGATTCATAGTGACCATGACTGGATGCTATTATTTCCCCCACCTGCTTCTGCTTTCTCACGTTCTCCACACGGAGGAGTCAGTGGGAGCAGTCAGACCTGGGCTGTTGAGCCGGGAAGACAGGGAGCACTTGGAGTTTTGCTTTCCCAGGGCATGTGGTAGTGGCTCCACAGACCTGCTGGATGAGGCCCATTGACACCACCCCTGTGGTGGCAGGAGAGCACCTTCTCAAAACGCCATCAGTCAGGCTTCCAAAAACGCAAAGAAGAGAGGAAACCCCCAATATCTGATGCCAAAAGGTGGTGCTGGGTGAGCCTGCAAAGAGTGTGGTGTGTCTCCATCTGCTGAGGATGAGCCAGAGGCTGCTGTGCCCTTGCTGAGCTCTCCAGGGAGAGTCATGCCCTTGTGGAGGGTCTGCCCCATGCATCCCTCACCTCCATGATGCTGTGTGGTCCCATCCTGGGATCAGGCCCACCACTCCTTGCACCTGGAATTGGCACTTGCTGGCAGCAACTGGGAGAAGAGCGAGAGCTGGCAGGCGCCCACTGCCTGAGCAGCCACAGACCCTCCTGCTTCCAGCACTGAGATGCTCCTCACCAAAGCAAGAACCGGGACTTCTCTCCTTGCAAGAACCTGGCTAGGCCTGGGGATAACCTCCTCTCAAGGGTAAAACACCTCTCCACATTAAGAGTCGCCCGCTCTCCCGCGCTCCGCCACGCTCTGTACGCTCGCGGGGAGGAGCGGGTCGGAATTGTTTTGATATATGATCTGTAATTGGCATCATTACAGAGCGCTGATCTCATCCAGGTCGTGTTCTCCTCCCCGGGGAGGGAACACAAGGAGGCTCGTGGTCCCTTGCATGGCTGCGATATAATGAGGGAGCCGCGCGAGGAGGAAATTTCTCCAAGTTCAAAGGGACAGGCGGAGGGAGGGGGGGGATGGCAGGGGTTGGGAGTGGGGCTGCAGGAAGGGGCCTCGCAGATCTGTGTGGGCTGCAGCCAGTGTGGCTTCCACTGCAACCCTTACAACAAGGAGACCCCAAAAACTGGGGCTGAAAATACAACATAGGGCTGAAAATACAATACAGTGTGTACAGTGCAGTGTGTCTGTCCCTCCCCTCTGCCTGGGTGCCACAAAGCAAAGCTGAGCATGTGAAGTCATCACCCCTTACAGAGTGAGCAGATACCCCAGAAGAGAGGGGGAAAATACACCTTACAATAGCTCCTAAACAACTGTCATACCAAAGGGGATGCTCAGCTTGCCTCATATTCTTTCTGGAGAGACCTGAATTGTCCTGGTGCTGCGTTCCCCTGTCACCTCCTTTGCCTTTCAGCCTCTGGACTGAGGGTGTGTGCATGTGGTTGAAGGAGTGGGACATAACAGAAGCATAAGAACAAACAGAGGTACAGTCCCTCCCTGCATTTTGCAGGCTGGATGTGTCTCTGGCACAGCCTACCGTGCTGGCTGCCCCTGAGAACCAGCTGGCCAAGAAGGGACACAATGAAACTGGAAGCACTGCAAGGAGCAGGCAATCAGAGCATGTTACACGATGCCTGGCCTCTCAAAGATTCGTGTTTCCTAAAAGCAATTCCCTGAAAAGCCTCCCGTAGCAGCCTCTCACTCCGGCAAACAGGTCCACAGAAGGTGACCTGAAGGACTGCAGGCTCCTTCCTCTCTCCCTCCCTGTCATTCCCATCCTCTTCCTCGCCTCCTGCTTCCCTCAGAGCTGTGCTCCAGGTGCTGGGGAGGAGGCTCACACACCTATTCCGTAGCCGCCGGCGCACTGGAGCTTCAGGTGGCTGTTGAGCTGGGTGGGCAGAGTGCACTGCCCCTGCATCTCCCTGCACAGGTGGAAGGAGCCGCTCCACGTGCCATCCTTCCTGCAGTGAATCACGTTGCTTCCACGGCCCTGGGGATGAGAGAAGGAGACAAAGGAGGATGGTCACAAAAACGCCACCAAGGAGAGGCTGAGAGCTCAGAGCTGAGCTGGGAGCAAAGTTCTGCTGGAAGTGGAAGAGCCCCTGGTTGGGACTGGCAGCCCTGGGGGGCAAAATGGAGTTTTATTTTAAAGAATAAAAAAAAACAAACAACAGGAAACAGCTGCACTGCAGACAAACACATACAAATACTCCTCTCCTGTGCAATACAAGGTCTTTACAACCCCTTGCAAGGTCTCTACAAGTCCCTTGCAAGGTCTCCACCTTACAACAGCCCCACTCCAGTTGCAATAAAGGTGCCTTCACCCTGTTTGCCTTCTTTCTTGTTGTAGAGAGGTTGGTGTTGAATGCAGACAACCTTTTCCCTCTGCCCATTCTCTAACCAGTTACATCATCTTTGTCTTGAAAAAGAAAGAATCCCCAATGGCCATCTGAGGGAGGAAGGAGAGCGGGACACGAGCAGGGATGCTTAGCAGGGCAGAACGTGCTCTTTAGAGCTTGTCTGCCTTGAGTGACAGCAAGTGAAGAGGTTGAGACAGACACACACAGAGGCAGGTGGGAAGGAGGGAAAAAACTCCTCTGGTGTGGGAATGGGCAAGGCATAGAATATGACATTTCTCTTATAGAAAAGATTCTCTGTATGATACTGAAGAATGAATACCAAAGTCCGAGGGGAAATATCATGCCCTTTAAAAACAACAAAGGAGTGCACAGGCAATCTTTTGTCAGATCTATCCTCACAGCACTGGGGATTTCTGTGCAAGCTGTTCTGTGGGATCTGCGAGCCCGACTGCCATGGGGTAATGTGGGATATTCAACAGGAGCATGTCTGGTGGGGCTGGGCTCCAAACCTCCCGTGGGGACCTTGCTGGGTGGGAGAACCATGCAGGATCTCTGCTTCTCCTCACCCGTTTTACATGCCAGGCACGTTGCCTGCAATCTACCCACTCTGTTCTTGGAGACTGTGCTGGGTATCTTTGGGAGGTCCTTTGATGTGCTGTCCATGCTGGGGTCCCTGCAGGGCTGCTGAACTTTTCTGAGGAGCTCTGCCCCCTGACCCACACCCATTGTGGCACAGGGCCTTGCACAAGCCCCTGGAACTGGAGTGGAAGATGTCACAGCCTTCAGTGTTAGTCTTGTCTTTAATATCCTAATGCCTTTTTTTATTTTTTGCTCAGCTTTGTTGATGAACACAATGTTTAGTGAGATGCAAAGTGGTCTTAGTGGTAGACTACTGCGTGGGACCTGCTTCCCCTTCTCTAGACATCTGGCCATTGCCAGAAGTAATAAGAAAATCATATGAAAGGATAATGGAGCAGATGGACTCAGGGTGTGATCCAGCTTGGTGATTCTCACCTAAGGGCCAGTTTGGCAGAGACTGATTAATTTAGATCTGACTGTTCATATGATTTGTGTACAATATTCAGAAATTGAAGACCCTTGCTCTGGTGCCAGGGGAGGTACCTGCTTAAATGACCATTACGTTCCTGGTGATTAAGAGATGCTGGATGTACAGCCAAGTAATGATCTTTCAGCGTGGTGACAAAGTCAGGAATAAATTGCTAAATGATAATTAAGCACAATTTGCTGGTTTAGCAAGTGTGATGCACTTCCATTGCAATTTCCATGCCAGGGTTCAAGCATGATTCTCAAAGGTGAGCCATGAAACCTGATTTATGTTGCTGGAGCTGGCTGTGCTTGAGGGTACTATTGTATAGTTTCTGCAACATACTCAGAGATCCCAGGATATCCATTGCTATAGTAACATACTGTCCATCATTCCCTGACCTGCAAAATCTCTTGTGAAAATCCCTGCTGGGTTTCTTGCTTGGATGCAACGTGTATTATCACCTTATATAGCTGAGAGAGACTTAGTGGGGTTTAATCCTTAAATAATTAACACCTCTCAAGTGGTTCTGGCTTGTGCCAGGAGTCCTCCCCTCTTCTTCTGTAGCCTATTTTCTGGGATATCTGAAAATACCTTTCTCTGCAAATCCCTCTCTCAAGATGTTATCTGCTCCTTTGCCCAAGGTGCTTTTGCAGCTGAACAGTCACTCACAGTGAATGCAGACATAGCCGGATCTCTCACTTTCCAGAGCTCACTTCATTACTGCTCTAACCCTGACTCCACTACTTGCTGCTCTTTGTTTCCACCTCATTTAAAAGCAAACACAAGCCCCTTACACCAGTTGGGATTGCCCTGGAGGCCCTGGTTTCCCTGCACTGGCAGCGATGGCACCCAGGGATGGGACACAGCGTCAGCCACCCTGACCAGTCTGAGCAATTTGTGTCCCAGAGCTCCCACCCAAACTGCACCCACACCTGCAGCTTCTCCCTTCACACAGCTCATAACCTCCCTGTAAGACTTATTCAAGGAAACCTTTTCCAGATGCCCTGAAGTGAAACACTGGGGCTCTGCCTGTTGTCCCTGTGGAGAGGGGAGGCCAGCCTGGCTGGGAAGAGGGGCAGGCAGGAGCTTTTAACATTTGGAGCAAGTATCAGAGCTGTCTTTCACATAATTGGTCCCTTTTTAAATGTTCTCAGGGTCTGGAATGATATTAAACCATCTATGACAGAGCACTCCCTGCTCCCTGCAGTGCTTGTAGTAGCTGCAGCTTCTACATCCCTGCTTTCTCTTCCCAAGAGTATGGAGCAGTAGCAGCACTTCTGGGAGAAGTTACTTACCTCACAAACTATAATTACCTCTGGTGAGGCAAACTAGGCATTTCAAACAAGATAGTAAAGGCCAGACCTTCTTGTGTCAGTGAACACAGCTCCTAGGATGCCAAAGGCAACATGCTGATTTGTGCCAGATGAGGATCTGACCCCTGATGCCAAATGACACCTTCGCAGCCAGGAAGACATGGAAGTTTAGAGATGTTTCACCTGAATAGTTGTAATCACTATAGAATTAAATTATCATATAGCACACAGGAATATAATAAGAAGAATTGGAGGGAAAAGCAAGGTAAAACAGAATGAGCAAGTGGGATAAGTTTGGATAACTTACTTTCATTCATTGCTCCTTACTTTCTAGCCAGGTCATAGAGCCACTGAGGCATATTTTTTAGCCACTTATTGTCCAGAACCATTAAGTCAGTCACTGCTAGTCCTCTACAGGTAATAGTTAATACTATTACAACTGTCATAAAAATAATATTTCCAGACTCTTCACACTCTCCCTCTACTTTATTTTTCCTTTCTCCATCTCTGTGTCTCTGTTCTCAGAAGAGCTCAGTGGCACTTGGCCCCTCCAAGGTCAGGATCCTCAGGGAACGTTTTTGAGCTGAGGTAATTTGGATGAGAGAGACTCACCGACTGACTGTCATCATCCTCACACTTGATCCGGCACTCGCTGTTGAACTGGAAGCCGTTGGAGCACTGGTAGAGCCCGTGGAACTTGGAAGGTGGCGGGTCACAAGTAACGGGCACACAAGCACCTGGCAGCCACGTGCCATCCTGTGTGCACTGGATCTTGAAGGCTCGCCTTTTTGTACAGAAAAAAAAAAAAAGACCCTTTAGTGAGTGGCTGAGTCAGCTGAGAGCCTCTCCAGCCTCTGAGCTCTGCTAGCAGGTTGCAGGGGATGGGTGTGCTTGTGCTTTTAACACCCGGGGAACAAGTTGTGAATCTGCGTCATGAGGTCTCTGAGCAAAAATAACGATTATTTGCAAAGCCAACATCGAGCTGCCCAGCCCAAACTCCTCTTTTGGTCTCGGACACACCGCCCAAAAACTCGGCTTCCCAGGTTTGTGAGCTGTGGTTGGTTTGAAGTGGGTTTGTGCAGAGCCAGAAGCACATGACAGCACTAACCCTTTCCTGCAGGGTTTCAAAGAGGACTCCCCAGGCTGCATATCAAAGGGGTGTTTCTAAGGTAAGGTCTGTTTTTTGAGCACTGGTCAGGATTTTCAAAGAAGCCTAAGTGAGCTAGGTGCCTAAATCCCCTTGAAGCTGCACAGCTATCTGCATGAAGGAATTGCTCCCATGCTATTCCCTAAGGCACATATAGTCTGTGATAAACAGCCCATCCCTTTCCCAAAGTCGTTTTAACTCATGGCTTTCTGAATCAGACTGACTGCAAGGCTTTCCTCTTTCACGTACTTTCTCGATTTTCTGGAGGATCCAGGGACATGGTAACCTGGTTTGCACTTGTACTTGCAAAACGAGCCCACTTTGTGCTTGTCTTCTCGGCAACGAGAAGTCTGGAGATCTGCATTAGGGACGACGGAGGGTGCTCGGCACATCAGCTCACACAGGGCCTCTGGAAAGGACCACAGCCCATCCTCCATGCAGGTCAAGTTGCTGTTGTTTCCTGAGAAGAACAGTGAGCAAAGTTAACAATGTTCAGAGGGACTGTTTTCTTTTGAAATGTCGTGACGCCCGTCATGTATCAAAAGCCACCTCAGCCCGTTTGACAAATTCAACTGTGTATGTCCTGTGTGCTTTCTCTTCCTAGATGATGGCATTAAATCATTAAGGGCACTGTTTTCAGATGACAGGCAGGCAGTGCTTATTTCAGGAAATGCTATAGCATAGGGGAAGCCACACGGGCTTTGTCATCTTTTGTATTTCTCTTCCTTATTTTGTTCCTCTCTGAAAGGAAGCTTGTTTCATACATCAACCCCCTCCTCTCCAAAGCCATTGCTTGAACAGAGGGTTGGTGCCATCACATTCTTCATTCTGCTTCTGTGTTATATCTCTTCCCTAAAGCTGTCCCTTTTATTTCAATTTGGAGCCTTTTGGAGCAGCATCTGTTAGTATCAGAGTCACTACTCCAACACAATGAGGAGCCATTCTCAGCTGGGGACTCTCAGTCCTTGGGGACTACTGTGATAAATACGATTCATAATACTCATTAGAGACTCATTTTCCTCAGGAAGCTTTCTTGGCCAACACCTCAAAGGTAAAAGGTACAATAGATCTATTTGCCTCTGCTATGACCTACTTGACTTCAGAAGGTTAAGCTAAAAGTAGCCCAGTCTCAGTGTATTTTACATTCTTTGTTATTTTATACCATACGTTGAAAAGGAATAAGCTTTTCCTAAGAAACAAAGCACAGCTATGAGCCACTAACCCTTCAAAAATCCCTAATACTCCATTGAAATCCCTGAGCATTGCTGCAGGAACTCTTCTCAACCCACAAGGCATATTTTCAACAGTGAGCCAACTTGGGAGTTATCCGAAATAATACTGACAAACTGCTAACCCCAGAGCAATACCATCTCTCTGCAAGGGAAGGAAGAGAGACGGGGCATGAGGCTGGAATTCAAAGAAGAAGAAAACAAAAGGCTCTGGAGGGCTCAGGAAGGTATGTGGAGGAGCCCTCCTGCCCTGCCCTCAAAGATAAGAGAAGCCGCATTAAATCAGCCCTGGCTTTGTCTCTCCCCTCCCCAACTGCAGATGATTGCAGAGGTATTTTGTGCAGAAGGGAGCTCTTTTCTGGAGCACCAGCATGTTTCTCTGCTCTGACTCATGCAGCAGCTCTGCAGACCAGCCTGGTGATATCATACTTGCCACTGCAAAGCGATAAGCTGTGACATTACCAACAGTGGCTGTCATGACGTCAGTGATTGAATTAGGCATGACTCATTCTCCAGAAGCTTAGTGGCAACATCTATTAGTCATCCCCGATGGCTGGACACCAAGTGGTGCCTCTACCTCACAGCTCTCGGCGTTTCTGGACAGAAGTGAAGTGATGCTGCACACCAGAGCTGCACCCCCTGAGCTGGGGGTTGGTTATCACTCCTCCAGCTACCCCTGCCTGAGTCATCAGCTCTTGTTGGTCGTGATGAGTATCACTATTTTCACTGTCTGCTCAAAGAACTTAAAGCACTTTAAAATGAAAAAAACATCTTTTGTTAAAGATGACCCTCTCGGTATATGAACAGGAAAAGGGATTTTTTTGGTAAAAAGTAGTATTAACTTTCCCTTAACTATCCTTTGAGTAGACTTAATTTTCTGCTTGTGACTATCTTCTGCCAGAGTTAAAAAGAATTAAGCAATTTGGTTATATATGAAGAAATCAACATATCCTTTCACTGAAATGAAGTGCCTTCCTTTTCTGGGGTTTGCAATGAGTCCCAGTAGAAAAGGTAATACTACAGGTACAATAAAAAAAATCCTTTACAGAGTTTGTACCTGAGTTGACAACAGCAGTTAAGATTACTCCACTGCGAGATGACAAGTTAATTTGGGTCTAATGTTCCTTCAGATTAACAGTGGTATCTTTTCTTGTTTCCTGAGGATCAGACCAGAAAGGGTGATGTGCCACTGAGCAGAAGGGTTGATGGTGCTGAGAAGAGGATGGGAATGTTAGCAGAAAAGCAGCAGGGAAGAAGACGAAGGAGAGAAAATGAAAGAAGGCAGCAGAGTGTGTTATTTCTAGGAGGAAAAAAAAAAGAAAAAAAGAAAAAAAGAGAAAAGTAAAGACTCCCAAACAAGTAGAGGGAAAAAAAGGTCAGAGGTAGAGAAAGATGAGTGTGGAAAAGGAGTGAGGTGATGGTGGATTAGGAAAAACAGTGATGGGGACCTGCGCCAATGGGACATGGGGCTTTTCAGTCTTCTCCTGCCTTTCCAAATACATGGAGGAGGCATAGGAGAGAGACAGACATACAAAACAGAGAAGGCATGGGAAAGAAGATGAGAGAGTTCAATCAGATTTATCCCCACGACTTTTCCATGTTTTGGTTGTATGGAAGCAATATTCACTGTCATTACTGCCCGGCCAGCCGCGATCAAGGAAAGGTCAAAGGAAGGTAATAGAGAGATGCAAAGGAACTTAACTTCTAATATAAATAAACCTTCCACAGAGTCTCATAATTCTTCATACTTAAAATATCATGAATAATTCTAAAACAACAGCAACAGTAACATATATTACTGGTAGCAGTGTGTGTTAGCTGTGCAGCTCTCCCCAGGTCACTGTGCAGACACCCTCTGGTACCTTTCAGAAGAGCAGGAGGTCGGCAAGTGAAGGAGCATTTCTTGCCAAAGGTGGTCCCCTCGCTGCAGTTGAAGGTGGCTGGGTAGACGTGGTACTGGTCTGGGACACCGCAGTCCACAGGCTCGCAGGTCACCTGCTTGTTCCACTTCCCATCCACGCAAGTCATGGTGATGCTGGACTCCATCTGGAAAAAGATACACTCCTACAGCCACCACGGCCAGCAAGGGAGAGAGAAAAACCGCTTCAAGCCTAGCAATAGCCATTACTTTGGCTCACAAGTTAGGCAAAACCATGCCTGGCCTCTACCATCATCTTTTGGACAGGGCAGCAGCTCCTAAACTCACCAAAGTGCCACAAGAACAGTGTCAGAGAACCAGGATGTGTTTCTGTCACCTCTGCGGTGAGACACCACAGCGCTTCCATATGAAGAGCAGAGAACTGCAAATAATCCAAATTCTTGTGTGCATGGCCTCCCGAGACAAGCAGGGCACATGCTGTGCTGCCCTACGTTTGGGAAGGAGCACACAAGCCTGAGCTGTTGGAGCTGACAGCTGTCCCCATCCCTGTCACCCCTGCAGTGACACAGCCACTCCAAAGGGATCCCCACGTGCTTCTGAGTCAAACTCACTCTTGGGTTTGAAGTAAAAGCCAACCTGACATGGAACCATTTGGGACTCCTGTCCGAGGCTCTCCTGAGAGGTGTCAGTCACCCTTGGATGGGGGTGCCAGGGGAAGAGCCTTGGGCCACATCAGCGTTGTGTGCAGATACTGACAGCTGCTCTTATGGTTTCTCTGTCAGGGTGCCCCAAGGCTCCACACCAAATCAGGGCCCATGGACATGCAATCCTGAGAGACAGACCTTTTCCAGGAGGAGTTTGCCATCAACAGACCCAGGAGCATCCTGCCCATAACTGGCACTTGGCACTTGAGAGTCAATGCCTGTGCTCTGACTTCCCCAAAGTCACTCTGCTGTCACAGCTACACTTCTGTGGATCTGAGGAATAATCCAAACAGCACAGCAGACTGAAATCCTGAAGTGCTAGGGGCAAAGAAGGAAAAAGGGGGGAGGTAAAGGAGCCACCCATCCAAAGCTAAGACGATAAATTTACTGGATGACTGAAGAATAAACAGATGTTGGCAAAGACAACTGAGTAAACAACATATCCACTTTCTAATTAAAAATGGAAAATTATTAAAAACTGGAAGTGAAGAATCTAACTCTTCCCTCCGCACCAGAATAAAGAGAGGGACAGAAGTTTAGAAATGTGAGAAACCCAAACACGCGAGGGGGAAGATGCTGCCGAGGAATCTGACCAAGCCATACAGCAGCACTCCTCTGCCTCCAGGGAATATTTTATTCAGGGCTGGTATGCTCACAGGAGATTTGCACCGCCGACCATTGATCTGGGTTTATAAAAGGAAGGGGAATGTTTCTAACACACATCAAAGGGACCTGGATTCCCTTTTTGCAAAAACACCCTAATGGTTTCAACAGAAGTTCAGACCTGTCTCCCTTTGATATATGGTTGCATACAGAATGGAAAAAGCAGTCCCAGAGCTGAGAAACTGGACACTTCCCAAGTGGGCACAAAACCCCTTTTCTAGGCCGTGGAGTTTATTTAAACAGGGAACACTGCTGATGGAAAAAAATGTCTTTTCTACAAGTTTAGAGTAGCGCATTCTGGGATTCTCGGAGCGCTCAGGTGAAGTGACTCTCTGCGTTCTCATTCCCAAGTGGCTGTTAATTCTGCCTTTGCTGCTTATCAGAATATTTGATAAAGTTAAAAACTGTATATAAAATGTAGGCAGTTGATTCCTGGAAGACCCCTGTGCTTCCAGGAAGTCACAGTGTGGTGGCCACAGGAGAAGGGATGATAGAGCGTATTCCCATGTCTTGAAAACCATACAGACACATTTGCTCTCCAGGATGAGCTGCTCCAGCATTTAGCAAAGCTTCCTTTCCCAAATAACACAGCAGCACTGTGGCTGCTGGAACTCTAAAACATAAACCCGAGCTACTGATGTCAATAAACTCAAGCTAATGATGTCAGAGGCTATCCAAATGTTATGGAAAAGACATAGGTCTTGCATAGTATCTTGCTGGTTGCTGGATCCATACTGAACATAGGGAAGCTCTATGATAAGAGGTTCAACTCCAAGAATTAAATTTTTAGTGGTGGTGTAAATTATTGTTCCTACCACCTGATAGTGGCTGCACAAAGGAGTTTCTCTAATGACAGGGTTGCACATCAAATGTACCTCTACATACCACCAAATAAACAGCGCAAACTCAGAAGCAGGAATATAACACAAATATTTAAAGAGAGACAATATCTGTGCATGACAGATAGTCACATCTAACAAGAAGTAATGTTTTGCCTGAGCTAACACTTGTGAGAGTGTTTCGGCTGTGGCCGTGGCCTTTGTTAGCAGAAAGCTGCAGGACATTAGAGCCTGCTGGGAATGTGATGTGCCTGGGATCCCCTCTCCTTGGAAGGGATCCCTAACTATCCCCTTTCCTTTATTTGTCCCCATGTTCTAGACCTTGATGTGAAAAAGATAATAATTACTGTCTCCACATTTTCATCTCTGGCTTTTTCCCAGCAGTACTTTCCCTACAACAGCACTAACCTAACCTGTAAGAGTCCTTCCAGACCCATATAGCTTTTCCTGTTCCTGGCACACTGGGAAGACCATTCCCCTGCAGAGAAGCTGTGCCCACGTGGGTAAGACCCTGGCTTCTCAGCTTTTTCCCAGTTAATTTGTTCCACACTTTGTATGATGGAAGCTGAGGTTTTCAAGGTCAGACATAATAATGGCACATTTTAGAGCATGTCTATCATGTCATCACTTCAAGCAATTGGAGCACATGGAATTCAGCAGCAGAACATGACAGAGAATGTTCCCTGCGATGGAGAGAAAGACTGGTGGCTTTGATTGGAAGCACAGAGGACAAACCTGCCACAGAAATTCTCGCAGGTGGCACCCACCAGCTCTCAGCTTCCCTCTCTTGTGGTGTCTCACCTGAGGGTGGGATCACTGCAGGGCCCAGGGCAGGACCTCCAGAGGCTGAGCAGGAGCCCACCTCTCCCCAGCTCCATGCCACACCTCAGGGGTATTTCCAGGGGACTCAGCCTCAGCAGTGCTGCCTTTGGATCCAGCACTGGGTCTTAGTGGCAGCATCTGCCTCTGCCTTTGTGGATCTCCCACCCGGAGCTGAGCAGGCACGTGCCTGTTTCGCCTGTCTGATCTGACAAGGTCACCCAGCTCACAGCAGTCCATACAAAACACTTGGCTTTCTCGTCTGGCTTATTAGCTGTCACTTTGGGCACTTTGTGCTGCTTTGACTGGCATCACTGCAACTGCTTCCCTTCATGTCCTGCCTTCCAAAAGAGGCTTACGCAAGGAGGGAGGGTGGGCAAGGCGAAAAGAGGGGGGGCAAAATAGGGCCTCCAAAGATACAGTGTGCAGTACAGTGAAGAGGATGCAAACTTAAACAAATCTGGTGCCAGAAAGATTTGTTCCTTGGGACTTGCAACAGCCTGAGAGAATTCATGTCTCCTTCCTGCTGCCCAAGATTCCAGCCGGCTCCTTCTTCAAGCGATGCTTCACGTGTGAAGTTTCCTCTCCTTAAAAATGAACAGCTGTGCCCTCCCCTCTAAGTATTCTTCCACTTCTGCCCACTACTGTGCCTCTAATTGAACCCACATGAGCCGTGCTTTCTTTTCCTGGCATGATTGATGATGCCTTTGCACAACATTAGGGAGCTGCTGGGTTTTAAATAACACCTCTTGACCAGAGCAGCAGTGGTGGTGGCTTCAAGGAGAGATGACAACAAGCAACTGAATGAGTGGGTCTTTCAGTGAAGGACAAGGGGGAGGAAAGCAGTGAAAAACAAAAGGGGGAAAGAGAGAGAAGAGAAGAAAGAGCGATGGAGTTGTCGGGGTGGGGGGTGGGAAGAAATTGGGGAGGGGGAATGAAAACATCCCGAGATCATCTTTGTGGGAAAGATACATGAAGGATTTTGCTCCATCACTGTGCAAAGCCCTTTGTTGTTGTTGCTGAAGTGCCTAAATGAGGATGAGGGAGAGCCCAAGAGCCTGTAAACAGCTCAGCTTTCTTTTTATTTTCAAGCAGCAAACAGTTTCTGCTGCACAGAGTGCTGATGGGTTTTAGGGTTTGGTGATTTTACGTAGTTTAACAGAATTTGGGAATGGGAGCTTCTCACAGGGGGAATGAATGAATGTTTTGCCCTAAGACTGATTAAAATGGTGGCTTCAGAAGACACAGAGGCCAGAAAGTGCAGAAACTTTTAAGAAGATTTTCAAAGACCCCTTAGATGTAAAAGATTGATTTGAAATGTGACTTGTGCCCCTGCATTTCTGAGGTGCTTTTGAAAATTTTGCTTTTAATTCTCTCTTCACCCTTTTTTTTCTGTCTTTCATTGAAATACGGAAGATAAATGTGGTTCAGATGCTAAACCAAGGTGTTTTCACTGGCCTGTGAATCATCTTCATCAGCATGCAGTGGCCATGGGCCACTGCTGTTCAGTCTGCTCTTTGGGACATTGCACCTCACCTCAGCCTCCTTCCTACCCAAGAGTGTGAAACACCAACGTGTGTAAAGCTACTTTCCTTCCTCCTCTTCCTCATGCAGCCCAACACACTGACAGTTAAATGAGAAAAAAATAATCTCTAGATCTTCAAATCAGTCAAACAGGCAAAATATCCAACTAGACAACAGTGAAGCAACCAACAGCTTTGTGCAGGGTTCCTCAATCATGGCAGCAAGTCCCTCTGATAATGGACAACAAGCCACAAACCCTTTCTCACCCCAAAATGACTGTGACTGGAAGAGGAGCTGAAGCTGGGAAGCAATTGTGGAAGGAGCACAATGCAATTTGACATGAGAAATCCAAACCATGGATTCTGGACTTTCTCAGATAATTCATATCTTGCCTACACATTCCACAAGTTCTGTCTTGAAGCACCTGACACAAAGAAATAAAACAAGATGATAGTGAAAGAAACTGTCTGCTCCTTTTCAACAGATCTCTGATGAGCACAAATAAACTTATAAAGCACATGTTTAATGTGCTTAGCTGATCATGAGTATCTTTAGGATGCTCCACTTCTTCCCTCATTGGAACAGTGAATGCACAGCACTGAGCAAAACAAAGCCATTGGCCTCGGGGGGTTTTACTGGTGGAAAAAAGACGAGGAAGTGCAATAGCAGACCAGGGTGAGAGGAAGTGTGTTGTAATAGGCAGTGAATCATGTTAGCTAGGGGTGCTAAAATCCTCCCCTCCTGTCATATGAGTCTGATCAAGGCTCTGAAACCAAACTTCTTGGGGCAAAACCATACACAGTCGGCAGAGACTCCCCAAAAGGTAATTCCTGCCTTTAAATAACAGGGTGCTGGTGAAGCGTGTTTAGGCTGTTTTATTTGGTTTGAGACCCCTGTGTGCCCCATGTACCCTATGTACAGATCCCTTCCATTCAGGCTCGTTTGAGAACTTGTTTTCTGCTCTGTAAAAATGCTCAGCTGGAGCTGGGGTTCTGGTGCTGATGCCAATTAGGATGGAAGAGGCCCAGCTCGCGGGGTCCTGTATTTGTTTTGTAATTGAGTTGAAAGGGCTGACTCATTCCCCTCCACTCTGTCTCCCCCCTCTGCGAGCTTATGAAGAACACAGTATTTCACAAATACAGACAGGCTGCTGAGTGCGGCTGCCCCGGCTCCCCCGGCCCCAGATGTGTGTGCTGCCCCAGATGTGTGTGCTGCCCCAGATGTGTGTGCTGCCCCCACAACTTGTGAGAAGGTGCTGATGGGGGAAACCACCCCCACATCACGCTCACAGGATCTAGAGCAGCATTAGAGGTGAGAGCACAAACTGAGGTGTCTGCACCCACCTATCCCAAGCACCCTGCTCCCAGGGACATGCCAAGGCTGGGCCATGTTGCACATGCACCTCATCCACCTTCCCCAGCCTGAAGTACCTTCATTTTTTTTAATGTTTAAATACTTTCATAGTATCCCTCAATACCTCCCTCACTGCATGAAGGCATACTGCTTTTGTAGGACATCCTCTGTAATCCATGCATTAATAAAGAGGATGGGGAGCACTGCCTGCCCCACCAGGGAAGGTTTTTGGTGATTCGTTTGGAAGCACAAAGGTTTGGGTGCTTTTTTCCATCCCCTCCATACCGTACACGTCAGCATGTGGTTGGAAGCAGATGGACTGAAAAACTGCAAAGGAGTTAAGACACTGCTAGCCTCAATCCCAGGACTAAAAAGGGAGGTATTTTGCCCAGAAATTGGTTGTGCAAAAACACAAAACACCCTACTCCCAAAACACCAGCCCCGAGAAACACTGTTTGGCTGAGTAGAGTCAGTTGGATCAAAGGACTGAATACACATTTAAACTTTGTGGGTTGAAAATTTCTGAAGTTGGGGAACATCTGAGCTTAGTTCATTGTCAGTATCTCTTCCTACAGAGGGCTCCTGTTCTGATGAGAAGTATTTGGATACGACCTTGTCCCAAGGCTGAACTGAGACTTCGGGGTTTAGGCTGGGTTATTTCTCAATTTCTCCACATGTGTTAGCTCATCCCTTGTCATAAAAAGCCCCAGAAGAACAAACCTGGCTCTTGATGAGATCATCATCCCTGTGGACGTGCAGGATGTGGCCGGTCCTGCAGCTCACGTTGCACTGGGCCCCGTTGTACCAGCCGCCGGTGCAGTTCAGCACTGCGTGCTCGATCTCCAGCTTCTGGCAGTCCGTGGCTTCACAGGAGTAGTGGACACAGCTAGGAGGGGGACAAGAAGTGGTATTTTTAGTGAATTCATTTAATTCCTCCCACAAGAGCAAGTGTGTCTGACTGACAGATTCGTCGCTCGGAGAACGCGCCGAACCCAGCCCGGCAAAGGGCTCCACACCCTCTTGTTACACCTTCTGAAGGACAGGGGCAGTGGCAACACAGAGGACAGTGAAGGCAAATTACAGGTCTTGTGGCAAAAAGGAAGAGCTTGCCAGTTCTGCAGAATTACTTTGTGTTCTGCAGTATTCATCCGCACTATGACCTTCCTACTCCTGTACCATCAGCCAACCATCCATCCGTCCACCCCGTCAAAACACTCTCCCTCCAAGAGCAGTCCTTATGCCCCATCCACTTTTAAATCTGCTGAATTCAGAAGTGCCTGATATTGGTGGTGATAAGTGTCTGTGTGTATGTGTGAGGAGGGGTTTCTGCGATAGACACTCTTATCTTTGAGAAACTCGGTTGAAATCATCACATTCATTTTATTTCACCTTACGAGGAACACCAAAACATCAGCTGTGTAGCTGTGTTGATAAGCTCTTATCAAGCTCAGCAGCATGCTGTCATTTCAGATCTCTCCAGTTGCTGTCCTGCCATCCATAAAATGTTTCCCCGGATGGAAACTGTCTGTTCTCCCTCCAGAAAATTATTGTAACATTTAGCACGACTTGTTAAAAGGGATTTTTGTTTTATTTTTACGTACATAGAGATGGCTGGTTGACACAAAATCTTTCACCATCTCTGATGACCTGAGTCAAACATTATAGCACATGTTCAAATGTGAGTATGGGGCAGTCCCTCAGCTAAACAGCAATGAAAACGCTGAGAGTCTTAGAGCATGAGGGGAGATTAGACTAGGTAGAAGGAAGAAATTCTTTTACAGTGAGATTAGTAAAACACTGACACAGGTTGTCCAAAGAAACTGTGGATGCTCCATCCCTAAAAACATTCAAGGCCAGGTTGGACAGGACTCTGAGCAACCAGATCTAGTTGAAGATGCCCCTGCTCACTGCAGAGGGGTTGGATTAGATGGGCTTTAAAGGACCCTTCCAACCCAAACCATTCCATGATTTTATGTGCAAAGACTTTTTCTGGATTATAGACAAAATTTCTGGGGTTAAAGACTCCTACAAAGTGATTTATTTTGGCTGAAAATTAAAATGAATTTAATTTAAATAAATTAGTTCTGAGGAGGGGAAACATTGGCTTATTTCACCATCCATGTGGGTAGGGAAGAACCTGAAATGCAGAAAGGTATAGAAAGAAGGGAAAGCAAAGCATCAATACACATATTTTAAAATGGTTTTCAAGCAAGCTATTCCTGTGTCCTAGAAAAAAGGGTTAACAACCACCAAAACCCTGTCCAGCTTAGTAAGCCCTGACTTAGCACGTACATGGTGTTTTGCTGTGTTCAAAACACTGTGCAGACATTATCTAATTAATTTTCATGACACCCCCGCGAGACACCTGGGCTGGTATTGTTATCCCCATGTTACTGATAGAGAAGCACATCTGCACATGTCTCTACTGAGCTCTAGATCAGATTAAATGACAGTATTATGTACCTCCACAACTCATTTCTCTGTCCCAGACTAGTGCTGTATGGGAAGTGCCCACTGCTGGTAATTTAAGGTTGCTCGTTCAGTGCCGGCCCTTCCCTGGTCTGTGATGAGCCATAAACCATTTCTACATTCAGAAAGACCTTATTTCCTCATGGTGCACAAAGTATGGCCACTGACAGGACTGAGGGAGAATTCCACCTCTGTGTTGGCCAACTCCATACCTTTGTATGCAGCAAACAGCGCCCTGTCCATCAGTACCACAACTCTGATGCTCATCTCTTCTGCAGAATAGACAAGAGCTGACCTACCCAGAGTGATCTTGCCCTCAAGGATGATCCCCACACACCAGACTAAGGGTTTCACATGTTTTCCAGCCACTGCAACTCACAGCCTGACATACAGATTTAAACTGCCTTTGATTTCACTTCATACTGATCAATAAGACTGTGGGTGAAAATGCCATAAAAGCCAGTGGGCAGCATATCCTCATGCCCAGGTGGGCCTCATTGAAGGGAAATGAGGTGAGGAGAACAGCCATGTGCAGTTGCCTTGCAAGTGACCAACACAGGAGTGTGAACTACAGACTTTACTCTGTTTTGGTAGCAGCTCCCCGAGCCTTACTAATCTGAATTACAAACCTTACCAACCTCATGGCACTGCCAGTTGAGTAAGTCCTCAATTGACCTCAAAAAGAATATCTCAAGTTGGATGTTGAGTGAGAGCACTAAAAGATGAATGATGTGTTTTTGAACCCTCCCTCCACGTCCCAGTCCCACTGATCCATGAAGGTGAACTCTCGCTTTGCTCCCCTCTATTTTTCAGATGGTGAGGCTGCAATAAAAGTTCCTCCCGTGCCAGGGCTTCAGCAACAAGTAAGTTGACTCATTGAGGAAAAAAGCAAGCACTATTGCCAAGCCACTCTTCTCAAAAGTACATATTGCAAACCTTGACTCCCCATTGCAAAACTCCCTCAAAATCTGAAAACCATCTTCCACTAAAGTTGAAAAAATAAAATAATAACAGACTTATTTAATCTAATACTTATGTGAATTAATGTAGCACTGAATTTGGCCTTGAATGGCTTCAGAGGGAAGGATGAGCCTAAGGAAACCTTTGCAATTTGCACAGAGGGAAATCTGGAGCAACGTCACCGCAGTCAGTGGCATCGCTTTTCATTTCCATCAATGTAAAGGAGAAAAAGAATCCGGTTTCTTGAGTTCAGATCAGGACACCAGATGAGCAAGCCTGGGCTTAAAAGTCCTACAGAACTGAAACACCACAGACAAAGGCATTAAGAAACACTTATTGTGATGTTCTTCTCTCTGTTTACAAGTCCCCTTGTGGTCTCCTGAAATGGCCAGGGAACATTTTTAGCCACCCCCTCCAGGCTCCAGATTATGCCTCGGTTAGCAGATCATCTGGGCAGCCCTCTCTGTCTGTAACTCTATATGAATGACTTCAGTGACAAACAATACAACCATTCACTTTTTGTAAAAAAACAACCACTGCCACCAAATGTTTCCAATTTAAATATTTCTGGTTCTCTAGCTACTGGTTCCAATTTGGTATCAGCTACTGTCAGCCATAAATCCCAATGAATTTTGAAGTCACGATCCTGAATTGAGTTCTGCAAATGCAGAATTAAGAAGGAGAAATGAATATCTCCAAGTAGGAAGTTTGGACAAAGAACCCATCACATCCATTTGTGGATTACAGAAGCTCTTGCATGGGTTCTGCCATTTAAGAGTGGTCAATCATCACATGTTCCAGAAACTGTGCATTCCTCGGGAAAGAAACAATATAAGAGTATCTGAGAAGGAAATCTCTTAGGCTTTAACTCATGTTGATTCCTGGCATAGGAGAGTCTATCCTGTTTTCTTGCAATCAATATTGTGTGACTTCATCAAAACCACCCATTTCAAGTCGTCCCTGGTCTACCCTAACTCCCCAAATTCCTTACTCAGAGTATGAGCTGATCTGGACCAAAGCTTCACAAGGGACCCAAGGACCACTCTAATGATTTACTTGAACAAGTGTTGGTGTCTGGGATATTCCCTGACAAGTGTTTATTTTACTAAGTCCACTTCAGGATTCACTTGTCCCTTCCCTTCCCCTGGCAGTGTACGATTTCCTAAAACAACATCTTCACACCGAGGCGGGTGCAAGGAGCAGTGGATTTCTTGCACACATTCCATTGCATGTTAGAAACAGATCAAGGCAGACTGTTTCAATGAAGTAAAAAGCCCTGAATTGAGTTAGCTTCACATGTAGGCTGAAGTTCTGAGCCAGTTCTTGCTTTATTCAAATCCATTCTGCCCATCCCTAATCTAAACGAGCTCAGTCATTAGGCTCTAAATCTGTATTTCTTTGTGCCAATATTGGCCCCAGTTCAGCAAGGCACTTAAATATGTGCTTAACTTCAAAAGCACAGTTAAGTCCCACTGATAGATTTGACTACAGGGGGATGTAAGCAAATAGCTGAGGGCTTGGCTAAATTGGGGCCTTAGTGACACAATCCTAGAAACATTTGTATTTTAACATGTTTATAGAAAATTATAACAATTAAGTGGAGCTCTTCCTTCCTCACATAAAACCAAGCCAGGACTTCCTCTTTCAAGAAGCTTACAGCAGCCAAACTTTCTTTTCCTAACCCTGGGGTCAAGCACTTTTCCAAGAAATCATCTTAATGTGGTGCCTTAATTATTTGTTTCCTTCATGAGAGCTCTGACACATAGATATAACAGGTGAGTATAAAAGCTCCTGAGAAGAGCCACACCATTATCTCTTGTATATGGGAAAAACTCCCTTTTTGACATTCTGGGACAGGCTGGGCTGGAGATCTGAACTGCAGTTTGGTTTTGTTCTAAGCCACCACACATTCAACTCACACACGTGTAGCCTTCTGAGGGGTCTTCCAACAGATTTATCCTTACAGTGGGTTTGTATTCTCCTCTCTAGAGGTTCTTCTAAGGGCAAGAGTGGGTTCTTTCTCTCTAAAACAAACATACATGCAGTATTTTGAAAAGCAGATGTTGCTAGCCCCATTCTTTGCTGTAGAAATAAAAGTATGAACTGCAGAGGTGGCAATGAATTTGTTTTCTCCAGTCTTCAGCTAAAAGACGTCATCTCTTGTATTAACACAAAATCTCGAAGAATGTATTCCCAAATCCTGAGGGCTGGATGGGAACTGGTGAACCTGTGCCACTGGAAGAAAGCTCAAGCCTTTTCCTAAAGAGGTGTTTGCCTTTGAATCTGGTCCATGAGAGTGACCGAGAGGATGGTATCACCTGTGGTCCTTCTGACAGCAACCCCTACTTCAAACTGAGAGTCAGAACACAGCTAAACCCAGAGATTTACAGAAAATACTTCCTCCAACCCCAGGTAAGCTGTGAGGGAAGGAGAAGCACAAACCAGCAAGTTCCCACCAGCGTCAGGGCAAATTCTCCTCGGGGACCAGCTCTGCCCCCAGCCTGCCTGCCCCCCGTCGTGTGAGTTATTCCTGCCTGGGGGGGTCCATATTGAACTGATAAAGCTCTCAAAGCCCCGTCACCCTGCCAGCTTGGAAGTGGGACCGTGTCCCTGGGCGTTTGCAGCCCCACAGGTCTCCCTGCCAGAGTCTGTCCAGGCGAACAAAGAAAACGCATCGCCTTCCACTTTAATAAAAGCCAAATGATGCCGTTTGCCAATTACCAAAATGGGGCGAAGGTTAAAAACCCATTGAATTATAACACATGTCACGGACCAAAGCTTCTATGATTAACAGTTCTGTGAGAAATTCATTAATTTCACCCGAAGCAAGCTGACAGAGATTGTGCTTAATGACAGAACGCAGGGCAGGGGAAAGGCGGCCGAGCCGGGAAAGAGAAAGCTGCATTAATTCACAACAAAAAGAGACGAGGAAACCCTTTTTTCCTCTTACAAAAAGGAAAAAGGAAAAAAAAAAAAACCAAAAACACAACTGGAGTTGTAAAGAGCAGTTGCATTTGTTCTGCTGCTGAAGATTTATCTTCATCATTTCTCGTTGGGGAAGCAGACAGCAGGAGAGAGCAAGACAAAGAGAAGAGCTGGAGTGGGCTACGTCTCCCTGGGGCTTGTTTGGGGCAGTGAAGGGTGAAGCTTAGAGGATGGCTTTCCGTGGAAGCAAGGGTAGGTGATGGTGTGATGACCAGGGGTGGGCCTGGTCCCCCCCTAGGTGTCAAACACCCCGGTGTGCACACTTCTGGAGGGTGGTAACCCCAAAATCTCCCCTGCAGAAGCAATTTTGAAGCCATAACAGTGAGTTTGTGGCAAGACTTAACCAAACAAAGGAAAGAGAAATCTTTTTGCTACACTGACTAGAGAGCACAAGGTGCTGCACGATGTGGGGTATAAAGACTGGAGAGCTGTGGGCAGCCAGTGGGGCTTGTCTTCTGTAGGAACATGGAGTTAATGGGGGATTAGGAAGATGGAAACTCCTGAAACTCACAATTCTGACAGCTGAACTGGGGAGTCTGCCTGGGTTTTCATGCCTCCTGCCTGCAGTTTCCAGGAGAGGAGCGATGGCACCAGGTGTGATAGAGGAGAGGTCTGGTGACCACAGCAGGGAAATGCCACCAAGGGAAAGCAGCACTTCACAAAAACTGCCTTGCCAGGGATGGGAGACCCCCCCGGGGATGTTTCCCACCCAGAGAAAAAGACAAAATCCTGATTTTTGAGAAATGCTGTCAAAGGCAGCCCCAGTGCACCAGGGGTGGGAAATTACACCTCTGCTTCTTCACACCCGATTTCACCATCCGCACCACAAGGCTACACAGGAAATGATGGAAGTTTAATAACCTGAGGTATAAAGTGGAAGAGAAGAACTACCTAGGCCGTTATATCTGGTCTGAGGATGTAATGTGGACATAAAGCCTGTCATTTTTACAGTTCGTCTCCAGCAGTGAGGGAAACTTCTGCTGAAAACAAAAAAAAGAGCCCATGGTCAGCGGCAGCAGAAAGACCAGCAGATGGAAAGTACAGAGTAGGTTTATTTTCAAACTCTCTATAAATGTCTTTAGGAGGATTGAATGGATTTTCAAAAGAAGTAATGTTGACTGAGGATGCCTATAAAGTTCAATGGGACTTTTACATTTAAGCTCCTTTTTCTCTAAAATATTAACTAGAATACATACCTCAAGAAAGAAGAGTGAGCACATGTTTTATTTTCAGTTATTAAGTTTTCACTAACCCATGGGAGGGATCCATTCACCTTCAAAATAAAGGCTGTGTTAACTTTTAAGGGCCGATATATTTCTTTTCCCTCTCAATTTTAAAATCTGCACCCTTGCCTAGAAGTGTCTGCATCTGGCTATAAATCCTCTCCAAGCAAAATAATTCTCCTTGAAGAGAGAGAAATAATACCTCTTGCAGAGAGAAGCCAAAAGCAGGCAAAAATATCCGTCTTGACCTAAGGAAAATGAAAGCAGTCAAATTGATGCTTACACATAGGAGAGAGAGTTCCTTTAAAAATTAAATAAATACTCTAAAAATCATATTAGGCAAATGCAACCGGTGGGGAAAGGGGAGAAGGGAAGGATGGGCAGTGTGGAACTGGCATTCCAAGGATGGGGAGACCACGAGCACAGGAGGCAGAAAACCCACATCCAGCCTCTGAGCTGGTTAAGAGTAACTTTTAAAAATCTCTCCTATGTGCTTCCTGGATTGGGTAAAACATCTGAGGAAAAAGACAGCAGTGACAGCAAAGGTGTCACCTATTTCCTGGCTGCACAACTTAATAACTTAATGCACAGCTTTCTCTACACCTTGGACACTTGAATTTCTTGGAATTTCTTGTACAGAAGAAAGCAGATATGGTCATCCTAAATGATCTTATCACAAGGCAAACTAGGGCTTCTCCACTGTACACTGTCATCAGTGGAAAAATCCCACTGTTTTCAATGGCCTTTGGATCAGGGCTTTACTTCAGAGACTTTCTGGTTCCTTGACAGACATGGGAAACTTTATAACAAATCCAGAATTGAAACGTTACTTTGAACAAGTGAGGCTCGGATGAAAGTTTTTGAGAGCAAGGGGCTGAGAGGGTTCAGTGCATCCCGAAAACAAAACAATGCCAAAAAAAAATCAGGAAGAAAAATAAGAGGCAAAAGGCGGGCGAGTCTTCCCCAAGAGATTTCTAAAGGTTGGTTTGCTGGGCTGCAGAGGCTCACTGAAGCTTTGCCCTAGGGGAATGCATTTTTTATTAAGGAAATAACTTTCTAAACACAGAGCACTTCTAATTCCATAAGTGAACAAATGGTTCAATTCCTACTGAAAATCTGAGAGGGAGGAGGAATGTGGTCCTGTGTCTCAGCCCTCTTGAGCTCCCTGTTGCTTCTCACCATCTCCTTCCAGTGGGTCTTTCTCGCTCTTTTTCTGTCCCGGTCCTGCACTGGGGATTCGCCAAACTTCCACAACCAGACTTCTCATCTGAAACTTGATCCTGCTGTCTTTGGGCCTCTGAATTTATACAACCTATTGCATAGAATGATCAGACGCCTTGAATCTAGGTCAGAACACACTGACTGGATTGATTTAGCTATAGATATGCTCCTTTTTTTTAAATTTTATTTTCCCTTCCCTCTCCCCCTTCTCACCCTCCTGCCTTTCCTGGAATAAAAGCAGGTCCTCAAAACAAGCCAGTACATTATCAAAAAACCTGACAGCTTGCTTAGGAGGCTGAGCAGAGGTTTGTTGGGATATGCAACTTGTTTTACTATTGCTGCCGCTATGGTATGACGACTGCTCACAACTTTGAATGCACAAAGGAAGAAAAAAAATTATTCTTTCAGGGGTTTTGCTAAATTCTCTCCTCTTCTTTTCACTGCCTCGCTGAAAGGATCCATGAAGCTGCCGCACCAGAGGCCAGGAAAGGTCACAATCTCTGTGGGATGCTGTAAAGCAGAGACTGAGAGGGGTTGGTGGTGATCTATTGATGTGTCTGTAATAACAACAAGAATAAAACGGTAGCCATAAACCTTTCATCCTGGGGGGTCCCACAGAGCTTTTCAGAACGGGGGCCTGATCCAGAGGGGTGCTGAGGGTCCTTGCCCGGCCGTAAAAGCCCTGCAGATGCCGATGGCCACGGATGTGCTGAGCACCCGGCAGGATCCGGCCCCGCTGGGGCACAAGCATCACTTTGTCTCCGTGCAATCGCTTCCGTGGGAGGTCCCCGTGGCCCTCGGGCAGCACAAAGCGGTCGGGGTCGGAGCGGTGTGCGAGCGGCGAGAGCGATGCCGGGCTGGGGAGTGCACGGGGAGTTAACCGGCCCCGAGCTCCGAGCCCGGGATAAAGGAGGGAGGAGAAAGGAAGAGGAAATAATTCACTAGCGGCATCCCCCGTGCGGGTTAAATGTCCCATCCATCCCGATCAATGAGAACACTGCCGGTTTTTCAGCGGCCACACAAAAGGGTCGGCAGGGTTCAGCTGCTGTGCCCCTCCTGCCTCCCCCTGACCCCCGGCCGGCGCGGGGGGCGGTGGGTGGCGAGGCAGAAGGAAGCGGGATGACAGGCTCACCTCTGCTCCGCCGGGCTGTAGGTCTGTCCTCGCTGGCAGCTGCTGATGGTGATAGGGTCGAAGTTGTGGAAGGAACGCAGGGCCACCCCGGAGATGGCCACAAACTGGGAGCTGAAGCTAATGAGGACAGCCTGGGTGTGATAAAAAGGGTGACTGAGGTCATGGATGACGGGGATAATCAGGGGATTGTTCCTGCAGCTCAGGACGTGGACACCTGCCAGAGGAGAGACAAGATCAGAGGAAGGGTCAGACTTAACACAATTGCTTCCCGAGGCCGTGGGCACTTCAGAGGCATTTCACCCATAGGAATGGCCCTATAGAGCTGAAAAGTTATGGTAAGCTGCCTGGAGGGGCTTCCCAAATCACTCTGGAGAGCTTAGTGGAGAAGTATATCCCTCCAGACAGCTGAAGAAAGGCTGCCATTCTCTCCACAAGCGCGGCACAGGCTCTCAGAGCCGTTTCTTTAGACCACGGCTACGTTTCTATTGTGCCCTGTTAAATCAGGAGCAACCATCACGGAGGAAGCGGAGTTGCACTATTGTCCAACTGGTCTGGGAGAGGACAGTTGGGGCCTTTATCCGGCGCATCAAACGGTGCCGGCAGGCTGGGTGGCTTTGTGCACCACGGGCAGGGCACCAGTGGCCTGTTTGGAGCTGTGTATGTCATTAGCACTCGGTGGTAAACTTCTTTGCATGAGCTCTACACTGAATGTGCCCATTTTTTATTTATTTTTTTTTTTTTTGGATGGTTTCGAGCCTTAGGGTATCTTGCTCTTGGGTAGAAAAGGCAAAGATGGTGCTGGAGAGAGAAATGAGGGTGATGGTCCCACTGAGGGTTTTGCAGGGGATCTCACTTGAGGAGAAAATAGTGCCTTGGGAAAATAAAAATGTCTCAAGGTTGAGGTGCACGGAAACACCAGAGAGCTGACAAGGAGACTTCTTAATCCCTTTTCTCCAGCAGACAAGGCACTCAGTGGCAGCTGGGAAGAAATTCCCACCTTCAGGTAGAGGCAACCTGAATTCAGATGGGCCAAATCCATCTCAGGGGTAAGGCAGAGGACAGACAGCTGTCTGCTGGCCTCAGAACTCCTTAATTGAGATTCATGGCCTGACGCTGCCTGCAAAGCCCGGCCTCTGCAGCTCCGTGGCATCACTCCGAGGATCAGCTTGGCTCCAGATCCATTTGCTTCACTGGAGCTCCCCCAGCAATGGCTTTGGCCCAGGCCCTTTGGCTACCCTGATACACTTACAAATTTCAAAATAAAATAAACTCTATTTGCATGTTTAACTGGCTCAGGGATTTCTGTTATTATTATTTCTTTTTTTTTCTTCCCAGTTCGGATTTCTTGACTTAAAGGGGGAGAAATAAAAAAGTTTTCATTTTCTCCTTAGAAAGTGATTTCCTGTGAATTAAGACAGACTTTTGACCATGCTCTTTAAACTTCTATCTCCCACCCTCTACTTAAAAAAATCTTCCTGTAATAAAAAAAAAAAAAAATATAAAAAAGCAACTCTCTTTTTGTTTTGGTCTTTACCTGACCCTGGAATAACCTCCCTGTCTACTTGCCTCCCACAGGTCTTTTGATATCAGCTCCTTGTGGAACGGTGCACGTTTCTCACTTACAAACAGGTGCAGTTAATACTCAAAATCCCGGGTTCCCAAATTCCTTGAAAGTTTCTGCCTTCTCTGATGGAAAGCCAAGAAAGAACTTATGGTATGAGGCTGTTTATTCACTTCCATTTCATTCCTTGCTCTCAGGTGGTGTCCACAAGCAAACAGACCCTCAGAGCTGTGCTGCACTTGCTGTGCTTTCTGCCCCACACAAGGTAAACGGGGGCTGAACAGGTCAGGGTCATGTAACTCACCTGCCTTCAGTAACTAAAGACCCCTCATGGTGGCCACGCAGGGGATCAGAGCTGTCTCACGATCACCCCCATTTCTGGAGCTCTGCACCCACCTATTTGATGCTCAGTAGCTGAACCCTGGTGTCTACAATGGGTCTGAACTAACAGAGCTGAAGTATTTGGCATTCCAACCTTTCCATCTCCTACCAAGACTCAGAATAAGCATCACATTATTTTCTGGGAGTCCACATGCTAAAAACCTGTTCTGATCAAGGTGGGAAACTTCAGGTCTGGATAGGATGTGTTTTGCCCATGGGAGTGTCTTTAGCACACTGAAGACTGATGGAGCTTTAAGTTATTGCTACTTTCTTTTGGACGTACTTTTAGTTTGCCACTAATTTCTACATAAGACTGATTGACTGTCTGAAGTCAATCCTGCACCCAGTGCATGGCAACACTTGCATCTCAGCTGCAGCTTCCAGCTTTCCAAGGTGACAAATTCAAACACATGAAAGACAATATCCAGGAAAAGGACAATGCCAGAGCCAGAACTCAGACAAAACAGTAATGGGGAGCTCTGCCTGAGTGAGAACTGCTGGGCAGCCTACCTACACCTCTCCCCTGCTCCAGGCAGCCTCTTCTGAAAGGTCAGAGAGGCTTTTCCATGATGAAGGCAGCATTTCAGCTCTGAGGATGTCCAGGCATCAGGATGAGCCCTGCCAAACTTATGTTGCAACTTCATTGAGGATTTCAAAACCTAACCCTTAGTTTCCTCTTTGCTCCTCTTTCTTGTTCTCTTCCTCTCACAATCTGTCTGTGTGCCCCTATAAAATGTCACATTAAGTATTTGTTGGCAGCTCGTGCATCCATCATTTATATCTCAGAGGGAAAGAGTTATGTGCCACTGTTTTGTGAAAGGAGGAGGATAAGATTAATCCAAGGGCTCTGGCAAACTGGGAGCTATCCTGACTCAACCTGCACAACTTGCTATGAATTTCTGTTTATTCTTGGACAACAGACATCACATTTATTTTCTTTCTTTTCCTCCACACCCCAACGAATTCCATATTATCCTGGATACTCATCCAACACCTGTCAATGTGTGTGTCCCTTCTAGTAGGAAGCTTGTTTGAATTTCAGCTTGTCAAAACTGAAAAGTTATGACAGAACAGAAAGTTGATGGGTGAGAGTGGTGTTTCCCTAAAAACTGCTCTTGAGGTGACCTGGCCAGCTTTCTTCCCAATGGAAAAAAAAAGGCAGAGAACAGCTGGAAAGGGATTATGCAAGTCCTGTCATGACACGGAGTTGGGAGCTAGGGAGAGCTCCTTGGTCCTGGAGCCTCAATGCAGCCTGAATCAATTCACCAGACACAGCTTCCCCAGGTTCAGGGCCCTGTGCCAAGGGTAGGGACAAAAATGGTCCATCCTGGCACTTCAGCAGAGCTGCAGATCCACAGCCTCTGTCAGGCACCTCTGCTTGAGGCCACACCCCGGTGTTAGACCTTCATCAAACCTGAAATACTTCACATGAAGAATGCTGGCCACCAAATAGCTGTGGAGACCTCCCTGCAAGCAAGACTAGAGATCACCCAACACACCCTGTGAAGCAGAAGTGTTTGCTGCAGCAGCAGCTGGAGCAGGTCCCTCACTCCCTGCTACCAGGGGCTCATCTGTATCACCATCAGTGTCTCTCCAGGGCAGTGCTGGTGTGAAGCACTGAGATAGTGCTGATTTTGATGACTAAAAAGGAGCTAATCACTTCTGAACACACAATGAACAGCTATGGAGAAATGTCTGCATAAAATGATGCACCATATTCAACAAACTCTAGAGAGACTCAGGGCTTGGAGCATTAAACAAGCATATTTTTGTCTAATTCTGAAAAAAACTGAGCAGGAGTACTGGTCAGTTTGTGAACAGAGGCATCATCAGATAAGCAAGCAATAAGGAGGGAGTTTAATAAAACAGTCTTACCAAGATCGTGGCTTTGCTCTTTGGTGTCAAACAGCTGCACACCAATGGTCTCCTGCTTCTGATCCAGGTAATAGGTCCCATCAGTGACCAGGTGAACTAGGACTGCTGCAGCTACCATAGGCTGGGAAAAATAAGCCTGGGAAAACACAAAACCCACAAAGCCTGAGGTGGGAAATTATGGTGGGCTTTAAAAAATCCCCAGGAGTCAATCCGGGACTTTTAAAAGGGCAATTCCCATCCCAGGTCACAGAGAAATCTTCTCTTCCAATCTCTCCTACACAAACTAGATAAACTCCAGTCAAACAGCCCTGCAGCTGTAACCCCTCAGAAATTCAATAGCCTTGTCACATGGGAGGGGACTTCACCACTGAGTCTCCAGACAGTGCTCAGAGACATTGTTTTGCTGTTTTGCTCCAAAAATACTTCAAAGAAAGGAGCAGCTCGGTCCTGGGAAGGCTATCCCAGTGATATTTTGCCTGTTGGAGAAACTTTGTACAGGCAGGCAAAGAGGAAACTCCTGAGTGACATGTGCACTTCCTACCTTGAGCCAGAAAATGGTCTGTGTCATGTGGGAGTACTGGAAGTTGGCTGTGCAGGGGTACCAGGCGTACTGGGAGACACCATCATTCAAGTCAATCACCTTAGTCCGACACACCTGGAAAAAGAAGCACCAAAACAGACATAGATGACAGTAAGGAAAGGTTATGACTCTTTAAAGTGTGTGTGGGAAAGTCCAGGTGCACTGCTAGAATAAAATAATGCATCATAACAATGCCTCTGAATACATTGAGATTATTCAGAAGTTAAGTTTCCAGGTCTTCCACCTCAATAAGAAAAACTGAAACGTGAAAAGGAGCTAAAGACTCCCAGCAGCTGGATGGCAGCCAGCAGTTTCCTCTGGATTTGGTACGAGGTCTTTGACGGCATTTTGAACAACTTTGTTCCCCACCCAAAAGGACCACAGTTCTTCCCACTGGAGTCAAAGTGACAATCACTTCTGAACGTCCCAGCTCACAGCACAGACAGTCTGGAGATTCCTCCACAGGGCTCCAGCACTGCCCTTTTTAAACCTGGTGTTCCTGGAACCCCAGGGGAGTTAGAGATGGATGTGTAAACTTGGTAGCCAGGAAAGTCCTGCCTCTACAACCCAATTTAAGCAAACTGGTTTCTTCTTTTGCTAACTAGTTCTGCAAGTGGAATCACCTTATTCTGCACCTTTCCATGGCAGGCAGCAGTGAGATTGGAAGCAAACTGCTCTTTTCAGTAAAGAACAAGTAGATGAATCCCAAGTGCTGGCACAAATGAAAAGCTCAAAGGAAGTGCCAGAATCTGAATACCAGAGAGCCTTGCAGTGCCATCAGTGTGTAAGATGTGAAAATGAAGCTGCAAGGAATGGTAGGATTCACCCTGAAAACTCTTCAGTGAAGCTGCTTCAAGAAAGAAACATGCACAACCACAGCCTTCACTCCCTTCACTGAGAAGGGAAATGTCCACCGTGCAAAAAGTAACTCCTGCATTAGAAGGATGATTCCTGCTGAGGCTCCAGGAGCACCTGAAGGGAGAACCTGTTGGGATTCACAACACTTAGGTGAACTCACTGACTCACCAGTCACGGGGATAAGAGGGAATTCCTTGTGGTCACACAGAATAGTGGCAGTGGAGCTACAACTGTAACCCAAGAGGCCAAACCATCCCCAGCACTTGTGCTGGCCACAGGACAGCCTAGGATGGATCCCACCACCTGGGCTGGGTGCTAATGGGAGTTATGTTGTCTTGGGGACACTTTTAATTTTCTTTCCAAGACCAGAGCCTGAACTGAGCAATCAGGTGGTGATGATGTGCTCTCAGTAAAGCTGTTCCCCTAATCAATTCCCCTGATTACTAAACCAAAAAGAAAACCCTGAGGTGAAACAGGAGAATTAACAGAGATGCTTTTGACCATTCAAAATCCTGTGTCCACTCAATAACTCTGCATGGAAATGCCCTCTTGGTCTCGGCAGGCAAAGTCTGGGCAGTGCAAAGAGAGCCTGGGATGCCTGGGAATGAGAAATCAGATTGGCTAAAAGTGAGGTAATCCCCTCTATAATCTGAGTCCCTCAAGGTCCAGCACAGAGGAATCTATGGGCAAAACATAAATCAGCTTTAATGGGCTGGAAGAAGATTTTTAGTTTATTTATTTTTTGAAACAACTGGGACCAAGCTTCATTGAGGCTAGCCAGTGGATACTGTTACATTTTACAGCAGAGCAAGGCTTTACATAAACTATCTTTGGCATTTGAAATCCAGGCCAGCAATTCGACATGTACCATTTCGCAACTCTCCCTTCTTGCGTTTTCAGCAGCCTGTCTCTTGTTGGGAGCATGGTTTTTATTTTAATACCTCTCCAGCTAGAGAATTTATCTTACCCACATCTGCAATTTATATGGTCAGAGAGCTCTTTGACATGAACAAAGGTCTCATTACTTTTATATGATTTTGTTCTCATTCTTACATCTCCTCCTGCTCTATTGGTCCAAAGAGGTGGCTGAAAGAAACATTCGGTGCTTTTTAAGTGCCACTTAATGGGTGAGTGAAAACCTGTATGAAGAAATCACCCAGACCTTCACCAAAAGTTTGAATCAAACCCAAAATAAACCCCCGCTGAGGTGGGTTGGAAGTCTCTGATAACTTTAAAACGCCTTGTTTGATTTGTGTGCGTGTGTGAACTCCAGCACTTTCTGCTTCTGCCTGGGAATATTAGCAAAAATCTGGGCATTGCATAAAGAGCCTGTGTTTGAGCCACGTGAGCTGAGGTGTGTGGACTGTCAGACTGGCCTGGTTTGAACAGGTTAGATAAGCTTCCCCCTGCTGAGGCTGAGCCATCGCTACCCAGACAAGTGTTTCAAAGTGGTCCTGGGGTAAAAGGTTCTTTTAGAAGAGTATAATTGAGAAGTGTGGGAGAAGTCTAACTGAGATGAGTGGCTACAAGAGCCTCTTCTGCACTAGCTGTCAGCTAGTGAACTTAGCTAATGGCAAAAAAGTTCTTGAAGATTCTGCAATAACAATCCAAGTGGATAAACAGTCCCTGTCACCTGCAGCCTCCACCATCCCAACAGGCTCTCACACACATGGTAAATACATCCCCACTTCGACTCTACCCAGGCAATGAGTGTCACACCATCACTGCCAAGTCTGAGAACTGTCTGTTGGGAGTGTTTGTCACACCTCTGCCTTTGAGGCATCCCCAGAATGTGGCAGCAGCCTGAAGGCCCATATTATTTAGGTTAATGGTTGGACTCAGTCATCCTAGAAGTCTTTTCTAAACTGAATGATTTTATGATTACTGCAGTACCACCGCTTTTAAGCTACAAGTTCCAATGGCCTGGAAGACAACATCATCTCTTCTCATGGCTATTCATAGGAATTCACACTTAGAAACAATAAATTATTTCCTAATGTACTCTCTAGTTTGGTACAGTGATGCAAAACAGCAGCTAAGGCACCTGACAGCTGTGGAGGGAAGAACAGATAGACATACTTCTCGTTTCAGGGTGTTACCAAGCTCTAAAGTATTTGCTTTGAAGAATGACGGCATCACACAGGACTCCAAACTTCACTCACTGGGGCTTATCCAGATTCTCAGACCCACAGAGCAATGGGATCCACAGGAGCTTAGTATGTGCTCCAAAGTATGCGAGGACTATTTGTGTCTAGTTACTGGAAGCCCATGTCATACCCCTCCCTAGGAAGCTGCTTTCAATTAAAGGAGCTGATGTCTGTTCCTCTCAGAGGTTCAAATCCAGCTCGTCTCCCACCCACACATTCTGTACACAAACATTGAGAGACAGAACGATCAAGGCCAGAGAGCACTGTGGGATCTTCCCACAAGAGGGAATGCCTGGAGGATTCCCTTTGACTGATTTATACAACCCCTTGTCAATCACAGGCACACCATGTTCTTCAAACCGCCTCTCCTGTTTTCCTCTTCTTACTCAAGGGGACCGAGGAATGTGTCAGCAGAAAGGGAAAAGTGATATATTGGGAGCACTTAGTTCTTTGCCACATCTAAAACGCATTTACTATTGCAATCAGCTCCATTCCCTTCAAAGTAATATGGGAAAATTTGCTAAAGAGCAAATTTTGGAAGGCACCCTTGTGAATGATTCCCAGCCATCCCATGACTTCAGGCAAAGTGAAGTTGGGTTGACGGGCTCCTGCTGCAGCTGAACTCCAGGTTAAGGATCAATCCTGTGGACTGGGCATGGGAATAGGTCCCATCCTGACTGTGCCCAGTGCATGGTCCCAGTACAGCCTTCTGGGCAGCACTTGGCTTCTCCAAGACTGAGCCCCCCTCTGTAAGATGAGGATGATATTCCCCCATGTCACACAGGTACGTTGAGGGTATTAGGCACAAAAAGTTGCTCAGATGTTACAAAGAGAAGGCACAAACAGGCACACACAGATGTGAGGATACCCCTCCCCACAGGAGTGGGTTAAATACAAACTGATGCCATCCCACTCTGACCTTCCCATCGAGCGAGCACAGCCAGACACCGCAGGCTCCGCATACGCTGGTGGTTCTCGTCATTGTAACGTAAAATAATTCTAAATGCAGACAGGCAAAGCTGCTCCTCAGCCGAGGATGCTGCCCTACTCAGCTCTGGCACAGGGCTGACACCGTGGTTGGGGTGGACGTGCCTGTCTGCATGCCCAGGGGCGGCTGGAAGCAGAGCAAATCTCCAGCACACAGATCTGGCTGCTCCCAAAATCCCATCTGCTGTCCCACCGTGGGGCTTCCTCCAGACCGTGTCTTCAAGCCACGTCTGGCTGAGAAGGGCCATCACGAGCACTGGTCTGTCGGGCACTCGGGAGCATCCTCCTTTTTGGGGAGGAGGGTGGAAGTGGTGATTGTGCCCCAAATGCTGCCTCTCCCTCCTCCTTTCTCCTGGGGACTGTGCTGCTGTCCCTTCTGCACCCAGACAGACAACACAGGGAGTTTCTGGGTTGAAATGGGCTAAACCCTGTCCTGTTTGCAAAACAGCAGCCAAGGAGCAAGCAGGAACAGGATCTGTTGGTAAAACCCCCAGTGGAGCACACGGCATCCTGAGTGAGGCTGCACAAGTGCACAGAAAAGCTCGTGGAGACTGATAAAAATCCATGGAGGCACAAACAGAACATCTTCTGTTGCTTGAGGATCCAGCTAAAAAACCAGACTTCAACGGTAATACTGAAACCTAATTAATCCACAGTTTTTAGCTGACTGCTCTGCAAAATGTTATTTATATTTAACTCAACACATGCCAGAGAATCCCAACCATGACATAAGCAGCATTTTAACACATCCCTTACAGATGAAAACTTTCTCCATTGCCAGACCAGGGGGCTGGCAGTCACCCAGACCTTTTATTCTTAAATATGTTATTGTTCTTACTGACCTAAGGTTAATCTTACCCAAGGATGAGAAACTATGGTGCAGTTGCTAAATATCAGAAAGGTTCCTGCTTGTTTATTGCCCAATATTGTGAGGCAGCTTGACTGCCACATGGACACCACCCAGTTTGCCGACTGCAGCACAGACCTCCAATCTGTTTTGAAAGCTGTTGCACTGCTCTTCTCATTTAGGCTGGGAACTGGGTTGGAGTTACAGAAAAATTAAATTGCCCACATTAGTGGGCA